TTTACCCGTTTGGGGACCGGGCAAATAATATATTATCATCACGCACGTTTGCGCAAAATAGAGTGGCCGACCGCAAGCCGTGTAATAGCGATACTATTGGGTCAAAGTCCTTTTTGAAAGTACCGTTTCAAAAGACCTTTTATCCGCTTTAAAATATTCAAACGGGCGAGTGTAGTAACGTTGTCGTACGACGGCTATTTTAAATGCGTACAGAACACCGTCGTATAGGGGCCATATTTCCCATTAGGCAAAACAAATTTAAACAATGCCAGACCTAGTCATAGACGATTTTGTGTTATAACGGCATTGTATCCTTTGTATATTTTCATAAGGTATTTTGCCTTATGATTGAAAAATTCTAAATAAGGCCCTGTATATGACGTGCGTACCCGAGGGATACGTGTATTTTTACACGTCTTGATAGGTACGCCGTGGTACCTACGCGTCATCGATTTTCGACTTCCGGTGTCGCGAGAAAACATATCGCGTACTCGTATACTTACTTCAAACAAAATATAGTGCACGCACGAGGTTGGCCACACAAATACAAAACCACTCGCTGCTGCTACTGCTGCTGCTGCTGCTGCTTATTGTGTTACCTCCCCGCGCATTATTAAATTCTATTCGGCCCTTACATATTATTATTATTATTATTATTATACATCTTTACTCTCCGTTTGCCGTTTTTCCACGAGCTTTCGCCACCGCGATAAACCGCCAAGTTCCCCGCCTTCCGACCCGCTCATCCTAGTGTGTTTCTCAACCTCGTTGTTCGCTCCGTACCTTCCCCTCTGCCCACCCCGCAATCTCTCTTCGGGCGCCCGCACGTGTCCTTCACCCCGCCAGCCGTCGTCGCATGTGCGCGTTGCCTCCGAAAAGTTCCGCCGTCGGCTCTGCAAGGGTCGAGATTTGGCCGTTTACTACTACTCGCGTTTAATAAACCCGCAACTATACCTATATCCGGTAACGGCGGTCTGCGAAACGCACCTAAGGACACACAAAAAACCTATTTATAACTCATCAAAATCCTAAGTTTGTCGATTTTTTCTACGGGCGAAATTATTAATAAACCATGAAATTTTTATGTGTCTGCAATATATATTTATATTTTGCTAAATTAATCAGTTGTTCTAGAACTGGGTCAAATTACAATTTATTCTGCTGGATTTCCAAGAACCATTTTATAACTTTTGTATGTCTAAACCAACAATCGCAATCAATAGTAATTGAAAACGCTCTTTTATGTTTTTACCATCATTTTTCACTACAATAATTGCTCTTCCACGGCAAATTGGCACATATTAACAGCTGAAATGTATACAAATGAATTACTTTTACCTTGCTCTTTAAGATAGAACAGATATGAGCGTGTAGCATGGTGGAGCTCGGTTCGTAGACAGCATAGGCAGCGAGTAAACCATTATATCCATTATAAAGGAGAATATCCAAATAAAAGAGAAATAAAGTAATAAGGGAATTTAATCGTATTATTATAATGCAATAATTAATTATTTTTAGTTAACTTTGTATTTTAAAATTTAACAAAGTACTATGTACTTATTCCATTAACACTACTCTTAAATGATATGTTTACTATGTTATCCTAATGTCCATATGCTGATGACTATCCATTTAAATAGCTCGGCATTACTCAGTAATTGCACACGTTACTCTGGACGAAGTTTTGGGCGAAAGGCAAATCCATTGCAATTAGTTAGGTATTCTTTACAAAAAAAAACACTTACAGTAACGTAACACATTTAACGTTTTGCAAACCAAGATGGATGATAGTGTTCATGTATTTCACTATGCGCATCTTCCTAAATGTATTTTTAATTAAACGGCCTCAAGGAGTTCAAAAATAATGAATATATAACTCAAAAATGTATTAAAAATACACATATATGAGGAGTCTGTTTCCTTCCAAACCAACTAATTATCTAGGTTTTTTATTAGTTTAGGTAGGTAAATGAGAAATACTTGTTGCTCTATATTTTTTTTTTATATTTCTGATTGTACTTTTAACAAAAAACCAATGAAAATAATTAAGAAAAATTATGTATTTTAGTTTTGGAACCATTAGGTGTATCTGATAGGTTTTGGAATTAAGTTGGCTACTTATTAAAAAAAATGTTATCACCAGAAGTTGAACTCAATGAACAATCACCATTTTGTATTTTCGTTTATTAAATGTAAATGGTTGCTAACTTTAATATTAAATTATTGAGAATTCGTTAAAATATATTACATAAAAACCGTTATGTTAGTAAACTTTGGATAATACGTTTTGATTCAACAGACGATTAGTATTATACGTTTATCACAGCAGCTATTAACTTTGGAATTAAATGTGTACCAAATAATCAATCAGTTTAAGAAATAAATTCCCGTTTAATCCGATAGGATATAATAAGTTTTGAAATAAGGCTACATTTATAATCAATTTTTAGCAGGGATATTATGTGTTTATGAAATTAGATTCAAGACAAAATATGGCAATATATATTATCGTAAAACTTCAAAGCCATAATATCAACAATAATTTTTGGGTACATAATAAGTTTTGGGAATGACTACAACATGTACAACTAATTAATACCTACATATTAAGTATTTATCGTTGTTTTATAATAGCCAACTATTAATATAGTATATTACATATTACTGGGCGCCTCCTGAATATTTTAACAACATACGCACACCATTTCCATTATAATATTACATTGTGCAAAATATAATGAAATATTGATTTTATTATTCAGTTTAAACAACATAATTATTTCAGTAAATATTTACTAAATGGACGTGAACATCCAAAACCGACAAGTTAGGTGAATGTATTTTTATCGTACAAGCCAAATAATAATTACTTCATATTAAAATTAAACCGCTTTGCTAGTGTTGCACTTTTTTGTATTTATTAACACTTTGCATACGTTTTTTAATAACCTACATATTATATTTGAAATAATGAATTATGAAGAAACACATTAACACCGAAATGATTGGCTAAATCAGAATTGTGCCGGATTTTAGTACTAGAATAAGTAGTGGCACTTAATTTATGTATGATTGCCTTAATTCTTGTGACATAATTTGGGCAAATAAAATTATATTCTTATCAGTCATATTTTTAATTGGTAATATTATGGTGATTATTTAGCAATTCTCTCTTCTTGGCTGTTAAATATATTTATTGACATGGTATTTTCGGTTGTTTTACAATATTGACCATTATTTCTCATGAATGATGAAGATATTTACTTATTTAAATTGGCCACTGGACAAGACATATGATGTCATTATACTGTAAATTATGTGAAGTGGCCGAAAGTTACTCAACACGTCTGTCTCTTCTAATCCCTTCCAAACGGAAATGTTCAAGTAGTTATTGTAATTGAATTTTTATTAAGGAATTTCTTTATCTCACGTTACCACATGGTTGTTGACTCTTCTTATTAGTTGATACTATGATAGATATTATGTTCAGCGTTAGAATACGGCACTGATGCGGGGTGCCGTAGAGACAGAGTGTCAAGAGACAGTGGTTCCTAAACGTTTTAAATGGAGTCCAGAAACGATTTCTAAGTTATTCTGGTCATGTATTGAATATATATCATCCTTAGCATAATTACTATCCAGTAACCCGTTTTCATGGATGAATTCCCCTTGAATATTAAGGGTATGAGAAATGGTTATTTCCTGTCTTTGTCCCACTCACGGACTGCATAGGAATTTCGACTTATTTCGGTTCTAACGCAACGTACCCATCGATCTAGCGAAATGAATCTAAAAACGGATTTAAATTCGATTAAAAACGACTTTTTCACTTCTGTTATATTTCTAAATTTAATTTTATGTTACTTTTTTTTTATTGAACATCATTCAGCTTCAAGTTCAAAATTAAAAAAAAAACAAGTATAGTCAATTTTTTCCGTATTTCCTAGTTTTTAGGATGAAGGAATTGACTTTTAAACGTTTGACCAACCAAAGTGCCAACCGCATACGATTTTAGATCTATAGAGGTGCTATACAATAAAAAAAGTTGTCTTGCATCAGACACAAAAAAAAACACATCAGTGTGAAATCAATATTATTTTTAACTATCGCAATGAAGCTAAATAATTAAAACGTTTTTAAAGATTAATAAATAGCGTGACTTGTCTATAACAAAAATAAATAACAATTTAAAATCAAAATCGTTTCCAAACTACTATACCTATAATATGATATATATATATATAACCGGAGACAAAGCGAGGCCAGCACCAAAACGTATACAAGTATAGTTTCCAATTTGATAGGTCAGGTCACCTTAGTGTAACTTAACTGAACCTCGAGATTAAAAGCTAATATCGTTTTTTCTTTTGCTAGACGTTCTTATTATTTACTTGTCAATAAATTGTCATTTAAGTCACTGTACCATAAAGTTTAACTTAAACATAATAAAAAGAAAAAAACTGTGTTAAAGTCATAATTTGCATTGAACCTTGAGGTCCATATTTGTCGACACTTCATGTTGCATCAGTAAAAAGTATGTTCTGTACCCTCGCTGTGTTAGTCGAAGCAAATAGACTATTTTCACGGAAAAACTACTACCCGAGGTTATGTCTCTATCAGGTAGGTTACGTTATACTTCCATATTGATTTTCTGGAAAAATAGAGACGCGAACACTTGCGCTGTATTGGCTTTGCCGAGTACACCGACTTCGTTTTTATTATTGTTAGGGATGTTTAAAAAAAAAAAAATTATATCATAAATTCGCCTGCATGGCGTGTGTGATACTTAATCGAGTCCATGTCGTTGATTCTATATTTGTTTGGTTTGATTCAATCATAATATTGCAATTTTAAATTGCTATACATTTACATTTAAAATTTTTTTTTTTTAATCTGCAACATGCATATGTGTATGATACATAAATACAATTTGCTCTGTTCTACAATTCACTCTGTGTTACGGGTCATAATTAAGTCATATTATTATTAACATTTTTCAGAACATACTGTTCTACTACGACCACGAGAGCTGCTCTAAACCGTCTGGTGTAATACTGTTGGAGGGTAGCTACTGCTCGAGATTAGATTTCTCCGGCGGCACTTCAAAAGTAACCTGCAAGATACAAACAGAAAAAGAAGTAAGCCTATAAGATAGTATTATATTTCCAGCTGGCAATATAAATCGCATATTTTTTATTTAACTGAAAGTCATTATTGTATTTGTTAATTAATTGATATAATACTTAAAGGGTATGTGATTTTTCAAAAAAGCATCATGTAAGAGGTGTTATTTTTTTTTAATTGTAAATTTTCTAGCATTGTTTTGTCATTTCTTACAACAACCCGCAAATGAGACAGTACGAATTTCGCGCTTCGTCCGAAACCGCTTGCAAAACATGGGTGAACGCTTTGAAACAAGCCAGGTAAAGAAACTTATTTGCCGTACATAAAAGAATATACAATATAGAATGATATTTGATGTGCTGGCTAACGAATTTATTTGGCAGTTTCAATAAGTTGTTGTTGCAAAAAGAGGAGCTTGAACAGCGGCATTTGCATTTGCTACAAGTCGTGGAGAGTGAAATGACCGCCAAATGGCAGTACACGCAACAATGTGAAGAACTGGCGTCCGAAATAAAAAAGCTACGGGCAGAAGTAATATAAATGTTTTTTTTTATTGTTCTGTAAAGCAATCTGTAAGTAATAGTACAATGTTATCGCCAATGGGTGTGGTTCAGCAATTATCACACCGTCATTACCTAAGGAAATCACTGCCGGGCAACGTGTAAACTTCACACACATTGTCTGGACACCTTATGTTGTTTAAATGGAGAATGTGTTACAGAAAAAACAAGCCAGTTCAGTACTAGTTTAGTCCTGCTACCTAACTTCATCGTTATTACGAGTAGCTGTAACTGGTGTTCATTAACTAGTCTACAATCTTAAATTGTATTAATTGTCCAAAAATATATATACTATAAATACATTATTAATTAGAAGTGTATAGCATTCGTAAATGTAGTGACCAACATAAACTTATGGTGAGAAAATCTCTCACCAAGCGACCAACGACGGATCAACTATATTAAAATATTATAGTTAAGTGGTATAAATCATTTTTTTTTTTAATTATTGAGATTATTTTAATTTAATTGGTATAAAAGCAAATTTAAAAGAGTCGCTGTTAAATGTATTTTGTACAAGTGTAAATCTAAATATCCGAGGAAAAATTACATACAAGTCACAATGCTTCCATTTTAATGAGCTCAAACAGGATGATTCATTATGGATTAGACACTCACTTTCTTTTAAAATAATTGTAGTTTTATATTTTATAGTGTATATATGTTGTACAATAACGTATAAGAAAAGTCCAGAAATCAATATTAAAAAATTCACATGTTTTTTTCCATTTTATTAAATATTTAAAACTTGATTGAATTTAACGAAAGTCTACTCTTACTATCATTTTTTTGTTGTATTTAAAATTATTTTTAAATATACATATACGAATTATGAGTTATAAATAGTTAATATTTGTTTAACGTACGCCTATTTCATCTATAAAACACAACATATTATATTTGTTTAATATAAGAACAAACCACTATGGCTGTTATGTGTTTTTGGGTTATATTAGTTATTAAGAAAAAACTTGATGATTCATAGTTAAATACTAGATATGAAATTTTGTTTTTGAAATAAATTGTAAAGGTATTACCATTAAAGAAAGAGCTGCGGCCGATGACGTCTTACGGTGGGTCCAGTACCGGTTCGTTCGACGGAGGTATGGGTTCATTTTCGCGAAGACAATCCAAGGACAGTTTTATATTTGCGGATCAGACGACGTTCAACGTACAGGACTCGATCGAAATGCGAAAAATAAAAAAGGTCCAAAGTTTCTTCAGGGGGTGGTTGTGCAGAAGACGGTGGAAACAAATTGTCGAACAGTACATTAAGAGTCCACACGCCGAGAGCATGCGCAAAAGGAATAGGCAAGTCAACCAATTTATAAACTTCATCATAGTATGTTTGTATAATAAATAAATAACATGTTTTGCGTTCGTGTATAGCCTGGTCTTCCGGATGGTCGAAGCCGAGGAAGAGTATGTTAGTCAGTTGGAAGTGTTAGTCACATGCTTTTTGCGGCCTTTGCGTATGGCTGCTAGTTCGAAAAAGCCTCCTTGCACTCACGAAGACATCAGCTCGATATTTTTAAACAGCGAGACGGTGTTGTTTTTACATCAGATATTTTACAAGGGACTGACGACCAGAATGGAAAACTGGCCCACTCTAATATTAAGTGAGTACCATACTACGTTATTTGTTTGTAGGTATAACATAATTAGTATTCAACCACAATATTAAAGAATCGCCGTACAAGCACTGATAGAGTGTACTTTTGAACATGACCAAGTTATATAAACCCCCATGTCGCTTACAAAACCGACAAGTGAACAACAACAAGCATTCCTAAGGAAAATATTATTATACTGTAAAAAGTTATTTAAAAAAGGATCAGTAGTGATAAGGAAGGAATCAATAAAAAAATACTTTTAAGGTTCCGGATTTGTTAGTTAGGCCGATATTTTTTGATAATGAAAAAATCCACTAAAGTAGATAATATTAACAGCGCTGTGGTTAATAAAAACTACCGCCAAGTATGTATATCTAAAATGGATAATATTGAAAAAATGAAATCTAAAAACCTTAAAAATTTGAAGAAATATATTTTTAAATTTATTTTTTTTTTATCTAAGAAAAAACCAAAATATATTTTAAAACTCATAAAGACCATATGAAAATAGTTTACCCAGGCATGCACTAATACATGTTATGGAGTGAAGGATAATTGATGGACGATTAATAATTCCAGCCAAGCAAGCATTTAAGTTATTAAAATATAAATGACATATTAAGTTTTATGTAAATAAAACCGTTGACTGTGTGACCTACTAATTATACGAATGTTAAATCGTTGTCATCCGTGAACATGTATGGGGATACAGTACCCAGATTATCAGGATTTTCCTTGTACGCCTTATTTGTCACATATTTTGACCCAATGAAAACCTGTAATTATTGGTAAGACATGAATCAAGTTTAATTCCATGAGGATGGTAGTGAAGGCATCGGATATGTCGTTTTGCCGATGATTTTCTCGGTAGAAAAATAATTTCCCATTTGTTTCCAACTATTTATAATACATATTGAAATTAATAATCATTTATACATTTCAACAACTAAAACAGAATTTTTTTAAAAAATAAACAAAATCATGCGAAACACTACTGTGTTGCATAAAAGGTAAAAATACAAGTTTGTGTTGTATAATAATATGCGTGATGTGTGTGTATACTGAAATAAAAAAGTTCCACTTTCCCATTTTCTCCTTGTGGCGGCGGTTGTGAGACGCTATGGCTTTTTCAACTTATCTAAAAGGCGTTGTTTGCTTTTGATTTTTTTCTGAAGGTACCGTGTCTAATAATCTATATTTATCGCCACTTTACATAAAAAACTTAAAACTTACGATAGCAACCATAAAAAATATATGATTAACATTTTTGCTGTAGTCGTGAAATGGAACACCGAATATTGATTTTTGTCCGTCTCTGTTTAATATGTTAAGATTATGCGTTTTTTTTTAACGGGCAGTTACTTTATTTGCACTCTTGGAGTGTTCCATGTTTCAACATCGAACTAATAAATAAATTATATATAGTTACTTTTTTATGCGTGCTTTTTTACTAAAAATGGTAATTTTAATGGATACTTTCTAAAAAAAATGACTGAATTGTTGTTGGTAATTTATTTAAGGTGATCTCTTTGATATACTACTGCCTATGCTGACAATCTATCAAGAATACGTTAGGAACCACCATTACAGTTTACAAGTATTGACTGAATGCAAACAGAATCCAGCATTTGTTAATCTCTTAGAGCGTCTAGAAAATAAACCAGCCTGCCATGCACGGTCGCTAGAAAACTTTCTAATTGTACCAATGCACCAGGTAAAAACTAATTACAAAACGTGACTTTTTTAGTTGTTCTAACCAAACGTCTTGAATAGTAACAGCTGTCATTTAAAATAATTTAAAAAATATGTAATTTTCTTTTTAGATTCCCAGGTATATAATAACCTTACACGAGATTCTAGCACACACTCCACATGACCACGTCGAACGAAAAAGTTTGCAAATGGCGTGCCAAAAATTAGAAGATTTGAGTAGACAAATTCACGACGAAGTTAGCGAGACAGAAAACTTACGAAAAAACCTTTCAATCGAACGAATGATTATTGAAGGCTGTGATATTCTATTAGATGCCAATCAAATATTTGTAAGACAGGGTACATTGGTGCAAATTCCTATAGCTAGAAAGAAAAGCAGAATTCCGCATTTTAAATCTGAAAAAGAAGCAGTTAGACAATGTTTCCTGTTTACAAATCATATGATCATAACAACTAGGTAGGACGTTAGGATACGGTAGCTTTAACGTAATAAATATATTATGTCAACACATTTGCAGAACAACAAGTGGCAAACTACATTTGGCACCAGAAGTCGGGAAAATATCATTGGCCGAATGTCGATTGATTGAGGATCCCAATGAAAAAGAAGATGATACTAACCAAGGGGATACTGACGTCCAAGAGGCCAATAATGAAGGTTGCACATTTACACATTATACCGCTTATTGTAGTGTTTTACTATGACTTTTAATATTTGTTCTCTATTCTTAAGCCGCTGACGATTCAGCAGGAACAAGCCATTCCAGCGATGTCGAAAATAGCGATTGCGAAGGATTAAAATATTCTTCCACTCCAAGTCCTAGTCAGAGCCCAAAACCTCAAAACTACGATTTCCAACTTTGTGTAGATTGCAAGTCAACTACCCCGCTGACAGTTCACTTATACGCCCCCTCCTTGCAAGAAAAAACTGCTTGGGTCAGCGATATAAGTCAAGTAAGACCTTTTCGCACACTCAATATGTTCGAGAAATCTATAAATAAACGCATATACAACTGGACTTTCTCTTCACTTTTAGTGTATTGAGAACTTGAGGTTCGATGCAATGCTTCGAAACTCAATGTCAGACACATCGTCGGTAACAATGCCACACTCGATGCGTAACGATCCAAAACTGTTTAAAGACGACAAGGATATAAAATTCAGTAAATATTACAACTCCTGCAGGGTAAGTAAAATCAACACTGTTTAAGTGTTGTGATGATTTTTTTTAATTTCTGCCTACTCCCGTTGATAGATACCACGAATTCATCATGCTACCAAAGAAAAACTGATATCCAGGCTGGTGGATTTGCGATTTTTATCCATCGATTTCCTCAACACGTTTTTGCTCACGTACAGAGTGTTCACCGACGGAGTTACAATTTTGGAAGCGTTGAAAAAAGTATTTTACAACAACGAGGTTGAAGTTCATGACGCGACCTGTCAACCTTGCATGACGTATGTAAAAACTATTGCCGTGCACTATAAAAAACAAATATGACATTTAGTTACTCAATGCACGCAGATCGATTGATCGAACGGAAGCGAGCGATCATCACCATCTGACTACAGGAGACCGGGAACGAAGGAGATCTAGTGTGATTTCATCGCCTCGAAGGACTAGTGCGGCCAGTTCTGTATCTGGTATCCAATATATAAAAGCGCTCGAAAGAGCGTTCCGTAGTACTGTGTTTAACATTAAATTTTGTCGTATTCCAGGTTATTGTTCGGAAATCAGCGACCGAGACAGAAGTAGCAGTATCGACTACCAGCACTCGCAGAGAACCGGAAGGAAATACAGTTTCCGGAAACGTAAGATCGTTGCACGCATAACGTTGACTTGATATTTACTTGTCGTAATGTTGTAGTCGAAGAGGAGGAGCGAAGGAACAAAATGAAGTCCGAAGAATTCAGTTCTACTACCAGTTTGTATCAACAGACATCGCCAAGAAGAAAGGTTAGCATACGAATTGAAGACACCGGTGACAACTGTTATTTGGCGCCGCCTGTGATGGTCAAAGCCACGTCTTCGTCTAGCAGTGAAACCCTGACAGGAGGTTCGACTTGACGAGTTATGCAATTTTAACGACTTTATTATAATTATCATGCTATTGTTTCATAGACAATCAACAAACTGTTGTGGCAACATCCCCGTGTAGCAATAATAGCACCTCGACGCTAGTAGCAGCCACTTCGAATAACGGTGATCGGAGTCCCAACGAAAACAACGCCTGCGGTTCACCAAAAATATTATTACCCGAACGGAAAACGCAGTCTCCTTCGAAGTTGCACGGATTTCCGATTCACCATGGACACGCTATCAAAATTGGTTCCATTATAACGGACGCGGCCAAAGAACTCGTGGAAAAGTATTTTTTTTTTTTTTCATTCGGCGCTTAATAAATTAATCGACATTTTAATATTATCTTTGTTGCTTAGATTCCATCCAGAAAAACATTTCTATACTCCGCAGCCGCGTAGGAGAAGTTGGTTTACACACGATAGCACTCAGTTTAGAAGAAAAAAGAGTTTCGGTCTTAATGAAGACGAGGCAGGAGGCAACACGGATGAAAATGAGTGGTTAAGCAATATCCATAGCGCGTCATCGTCTAGATCTGCATCGCTTGTAAATTCCAGCATTGCGCAGGTATTCAACAATGTGTTTTTCCGGCTGTCGACATATACATATGACCGTTGTGTGCGTTTGCAGTATTTCTCTAGGAGGAAATCATTCGCTTGCACCGCTGACACCGATGGATGCTATAGCGGAAGTGCATCACAAAGAACAAGCATGCAACATGACAGTCCTGTGTTATCTAGTAGAGCCGGAGTAGTCATTACTTCATCTAGACAATCAAAAAGAAGGTAAGTAGAAATAAAACTGAAAAACAAATCTTAACAAGAGTAATAATTTTAGTAACAATTAAAAAGCGTGGGACCAACTTATTGTTTAGGCAAACTAGTTGATTTTTTTTTATCAGGATTTGATTAATAGGTCCTACGCTTAATAAAATATTTATTATTACCCACTGAAGTAAGACGGTTCTCATTTGTTTTACACGTGTTTTGTTTTATTTTTGTGTTCAGAACTGGAAGGCCGGAGTTTTGGTAAGTGCTGCGGACATGCACAATGGGAGAGGTCTGATATTTGTAAATCGGAAAAACCTGTTGGGGTTTTTGATTACATATTTATTTTTGATTTCGATTTCTGCATGAACCTATCACTTGCGGGCTAGTTAATTTGCTGCTCTTTTGGTAAAAAGCTAATGAAGTATTATATTTTCTTTCCCCGATACACTATAAATATAATATATAGAACATTTGGTTTGGCATTCCAAAAGCCAAATATGTTAACCAACCGGATCTTCCATTTAATTTAGATGATATTACTGAAAGAGAACAATTATATAAATCCGTATGCATGGACTCTAGCAGTTAGCTAATCCGTTTGATCCACACACCCTTGCAGTAGTGACGTATGGATAGTTCTGGAACTAGACAGATTTTTTTATTATTATTAGCGATCTCCATTGGTCCCACGGACACCAGAACCATCTATTTATACAGCTGTTTACCTTTAGCCACGTAAAAACAATTATTATTAAAGCCAGACACCTCAGACAGCTAGAAGTAGACTATATTTGAACTTTAAATAAACATTTAACAAGTTATTATTTATAAATAGTTTGAGTTTGTTGTTGACAAAATAGAGAACACCTGCAAACCCCTGGGAATGTTTCCCTGCACGAGTTATATACAATAGCTTTCCAAGTATGAATATACCTATAATATTTAAAATAAATTATAATGACCCCTTTTTTTCTCGTATTAAAATTTCTGCACATGTCCATCCGATTTCCTGTATTCTTATTGTTTCTTTTTATTATTTTTTTTTTATTTACCCTGTTCAACTGAAAATATTTATTTAACAGTTAACGTTTAAAAAATGTATACAACCCGCTTTAACTCAGATTGAACTTTAACGCCAGCCTGTTATTAGGCGGAAGAGCACAGTTTATCTATTAACTGTAACATTGATGAAAAATATCTTGTTTTATTCAAAGGAGCAGTACGTCAACAGCAGCTGCTGCTTTTGCCATTGCCACGTCAGCCTCGAGTAATCCCAGAGAACTGTCACCGTTACACGACCAAAAGTGCTGTTCTGCAGAAAGGAAAAGGAAAGAGTCGGTCATGTCTACTGCAGCTACAATGAGGGTGCTCAACGTATTAAAACATTGGATATCGAAACACCCACAGGTATATCAGAATTATCACACGAAACAAATAGAAATCGTTGGTGATTAAGTATATTATTTCTAGGATTTTGAAAACGACCCCCGTCTCAAAAACCTGACTATAGAATTTTTGGAGGACATACTTTTTAGTCCTAATCTTTTACCGGCCGAACACAAGATTGCAGGACAATTGCTACGTTTACTTACAATGGACGAAACAAAGAAAACCAGTATAGATCTCAATCTGTTATTGACTCCAACGCAGGTATAATTTTACAACTATAAATTATTAGAAGAATTAAGTTTTTAAAAACGCTAAGAATCTAGGAAAAACGTATGCAACACTTGTGTTGCACACATAATAAAGAATAAAATATTTTTTAAAAAAACCCTTTTAACCAAAAAAAAATTACACTTAAGCCGTATTTCGATAGCAATACTATCCTCATTTGCGCTGACAACAGCCTGAGACATCATCAATGACATCAATGAGACCATCATTGTCAAAAAGTGTTTTACGAATTTTAGCAAAATATTTTGTAATGGACTTAAGTCCCAGTTTAACAAATTAGGATATTGTTCTTATTTTTCAACATTTCTATTGCCTCACCGATGTACATTTCTTTGTAAAACCTACTCATTGAAAGAATATGGTTTTATCACAGCACCTACCTCACCTAATATATAAATATATATTTTTTTTAATCAATTCCCTTGGCCATTGGGTTACATTTAATGTTGGTACGTGTATATTTTTAGATACCCAGTGCCGAAAGTATTGAAACGTTGTCTGCACTAGAAATAGCCGAACAGATGACTTACATAGATCATCAGATATTCATAAGAATTCAAAGCCAGTAAATAACAATATTGTGCTAGTAAAAAAAGTCCACGGTAACCATAATATGCTAATGGTCTTATCTAGGGAATTCTTTGGCCGAGCTTGGATGAAGGAAGACAAACACATCAAGGCACCTCACATTATACTAATGACTAAGAGGTTCAACGAACTGTCACAATTAGTTGCCTCGGAGATCATGCGCAAAAATAATATTGCTGCTCGAGTGGTAACTATTGAAAAATGGGCAGCAGTAGCTGATATATCCAGATGCTTGCATAATTTCAACGGCGTACTTCAGATATGTTCGGCGTTTACTAACAGTTCAGTGTTTCGCCTGAAGAAAACCTGGGAAAAAGTTTCTAAAGCTGTGAGTATAAGTTTTATATTAATTTCCAATAATATTTTTCAACTTACACGTTACAATCTGAATAAATTGAATACAAAGTTGTAAATATAATTGTTGAATAACATCTGCATATTAAAGTAGCTTCATTCAAAGTTACACTCGCTGTTATATTGGACGATTTGTCATTTAGATAGCCTCTGAGTTTTACAAATATTTACAGGCCCTCCTCCAGAAAAAAACCGTAACAAAATATATGTACAGTCAAATATTTTTTATGACTTTTGGAATCAATACTAAATACCACAAATACCATTGTCGAAAAATAATTAAAAATACACATAATTGATTTTACTATTAATTATAATAAAAACAAATAGTGGGAATTGTAAAACATAATCTATTGAAACACTAAGTGGAATTATAAAAAAAACAAGATTGCTTGTTAATAACTTGACCTACATTCACTAAGTCGATTAAGTATAATTAAAATGCCATTTTATTTTGAATAAATCATTAACACCGTTACAGTTGTTGCATATAGTAAGTACTTTCGTCTTATAAGAACTAAACTTATTTGTGTATGCATCTAAAATCATAAGCAAGCGCACTGGCTATGCGTAGATGCAGAGTATGGTGCTTTAGAAAATATCCATTATTATTTATTATTAATAATATAATGATCGGTCTTTTACTATATAATTGTTAATAATAATATGTCAGATTTATATTTTCATATTAAATTACAAAATAAAAATTCTTCATTAATTAATAAAAAAAAAAAATGATTAAAAAATGTAGAACTCGCTTTCAAATGTTATTTGTATAAAACGGTTTGAGATGAATTGTCTGTTAACAACAATTATTGTTCGATACCAATTCTTTTCGGTGTACCATAGATTATACCAGAATTAATTAATTTAACCATCAATTATAGATACTTTATATTATAATATTGAGGAAATATAGAAACACATTCAATTTTGTTATGAAAACTGAAATTAAACTTAAAACAACCTGACAGTGCTTAACTATACTGGAAGACAACTTTTCTAATATTATGATAAGTTATTTTTATTTTCAGTTCATTTGTGTTTGAGATGCCCTAACACTTATTATACGATATAATATTTTGCTGCTATACAATACAAAATAAATAGCTGTCTAATTAAAATTGTATTTTTCATAACAAGACAAAACAATCAGTACAAAAACTTCAAATAATCGTTTCGTCGGACGGTCGATTCAGGAACCTCCGAGAAGCTCTACACAGATGCGATCCTCCCTGTATACCGTACCTCGGAATGTACTTAAGTGACTTGTCGTTTTTGGAAGAAGGAACACCCAGTTTAGCTGAAGACGGTCTTTTAAACTTTTCGAAATTGCGTATGGTGAGTACTAATGATGATTTTACTGATTTCAGTAGGATTAATAAACCAAAAGACACATAAAATAATTAACATTGCCTATTGTGTTTAAATAATTAATACAACTATACACTCCACCCTTTCTGCTAAATTTTAAACTTTAATAACTCTAAAAGTCAATATTCAAAACTGGTTAGCGACAAGTCAACATTTTCGGCATATTATTCTACTTTCAAAAACAAAAACTTGAATCTTTTCTAATATTGTACAGTAACGTAAACCAAAGTATATCCATAAAGAAATACTTCAAAATTTTAATTATCTCAAGAGGAAACTAGTGTGTCTTGTCCTTAACGAATCGCTTTGTAAAACGGTATACCAACCTAGTTTAAAACTTTAGTGCGGTACCGTTAAGTTAACACTAATTGTCGTTTAGATTGCGCACGTAGTGCAAGAAATCCGACGGTTCCAACAGACGCCGTACAAAATCGACTTCCAGTCCAGGGTAGCCAATTATCTACTGGACACATCTTTCCTGATGAACGAAGACGAACTGTACACTAGGTCGCTGGAGATCGAACCCAGGCCTTCGAGGCTGAGTATCACGACGCTGTCTAGCTCGCCCCATCACCAGAGCGGAAGTCAATGACGACGGTTCAGCGTTAAGAGGAACCAGACCACGTGTTTCAAATGATTTGGAAGGGGGGCGGACGACGGCAGAGGATCGTGAACTGTCCGAGTGGTATTAAAACGAGAGAATATTTCATCAAGTTTTCGTCCCCGTTCCACCACCGTCGCCGCCGCCACCGATCGTTTCGCACTTTCTTATTCTATTTAGAATGTCGAGTCTAGTTCTTCGTAAACGCTACTATTTTTCCCTTAAGGCGAGGATCGTGTTATGTCATTTCTCTGATTTTGGTTTTTCTTTTTCGCACGGTCCTCGCCGTGCTATCGGCTAACGTTTTTTTTTTTTTTAAATAAATTTAATTGTTACTCTAAATAGTTATAATTAATAAATGTATACAACTACGTGTATTCGAATTTTTCGTAATTTTGTCTTCCAAATTTCGAACAAACAAAACATTTTTTAAATGCGATTAAATATTGTCGCGGAACGTCTTTGTTTAGTAGATCACCGTTTGTAGAGTCTACGCTTTTACGAGTGTACTCGACCTTTGTAGGTCCGCAGCGAAATAAACAAAATATATTCGGGATGACCGTGAACAGTTCACATAAAATTGTATGCCGTTATCGAATTAAACAGCTCAATTCTTCGAGCCAAAGCCGTATCACGACAAATATTTATATATTAGTTGCTCGACAACGTATACTTTATCCCAGGGGGGTGGATTTAGGTGTGAAAAAACGGAGGGCTAGAAAAAAATATCCAATTCAAATACATATAAGCAATAGTCATAGAGTTAAAACTTACATAGTATAATACAAATACCTTATAAAAGAAAAAAAATAAACATAGAAATGCAGTTTTAATTAATAAAATTAAAGTACATAAGGGAAAGGTTTCAGCTACCCTCACTTGTATCCGCCCTGCTTTAACCCAACTGTAAACCCAAATCTATACCGAACATATTTACACCTTCTCTTCCAATTAATCAAATTTAACACGCATGTCTACTATTTTCCCTACGCTCCTAAGATAACAGACTACTTTGTCAAGCATACTTAAGCATATTTGTAACGTTTGTGTGGATGTGTTCTCGGTCTACTCGGTGAAATACGCACAATCAGTAACACTTGGACGTGTAATAGTGGCGCAATTATACCTGAATTATGGAGAGAACTTGAGCATTAATAATTACACTTAGTCTAAAAACAAAACGAAAAAATTGGAGGGATTTTGGATGACAATGTTGACGAGGTCCTGGGCCCTCCCCTAATTACGCCACTGTCTTGTACTCATATCTAATCATTCTTATAAAAATTATTGTCAATCAAACAAATTTTATTCGCGATCAATCATTGCTTATCATAATATATTTTGTAATTCATTGCTGTGACATAATAAAATACTTGTACGAAAATCTATCAATATCGCTTTACACAGCATTGTTCTATGCATTTTTTTAATGTAGGCTAATAAATACATTAGTATAATGTTACATATTTTCTGCTTATCGTCGGCTAAATTCTCGTGTAGACGTTTAAAGTTCTAAAAAAAATTGGTTGTTTTTTTTTTAACCTTTGCTCACTGGAGAAACTAAAACGGTGTATCCAGCCGAAAATGTATATAAATATAACACAATAATATGAAAAAATAAATTTTAAAAAAAATAAGAATAAAAAATTACACGGCTGCCGATGCGAATTTCAATTCTTATTTTTTAAATAATAATACTACTAATAATATATAAGTCGTTGTTATATATTATTTAACCGCAATGTTGTTACTGTTAATTAAGATACGTGAATAATAATATAAGAATGGTTATGTTTGACGTTAGAGTATTTTGTCGGGGATTTTTGTTCTTTGATAATAATATGTAGTTTATTCATTAAAATTGGAGTAATGTTTTATAGCGTTTAACAAAGTATAAAAATGATGACACTTATTCAATTCCTATTGTCAAACTCTTCTATTGTGACTTGTGAGCAAATTTTATTATATATTTTATTTATTATGATGATGATAATAATATTAAGGTGGTGATTAATTTGTGTGATATGATAGTTACTTATTTTTTTTCGCGTCTCCGTAATTTTTTTTAATCTTCTTTTATCGCTCTTGTGCGTTATATTACTTCATGATAAGTAATAATATAATATAATATTACGGAATTATAATACATGTCGATGTACGCCAGGGGCTGATTGAACCGATAAGGGATTTAAATAAACATTGACCATTTGTTGATCTGTTTAATAAAATATTTTATTTAAAAAAATACAATTACTTAATGAAATAACGCGGCATAAAATAGAATTCTAAAAATTCGTTAACAAAAAAAAAGATAAAATAGTTGAAGTATTATTCTTAGCCATTAAGCCCTGATGGTTGTTGCATTTGATGTAAAACACATTTTCGTGTAAGTCATATAATACCATTCAATGTGTATTAATATTGTTAATGTGTTCCGTTTATTGTTTTTTTTTTAATAAATTATTTTCTGTATTATTATTATTGTTATTATATCGTTACTAAACGTGGTTACTATACAAATACTCTTTATCGAGTACATATTATGTTTCAAGAAATATAAAAATTACAAAAAAGTTTATAAGTATACACATATATATATATTTATTTATTTTTCACAATATGACAATCACACCGAATAGAGATGTTTCAGTACCGTTACGTGTGTTAAATTTAGAGAGTAAAATTATAAACAATATATTTGTGCATAATATTATGTATTTATTTATATACATGTATACCTATTCAATGTTACCTACCTTTTAGAGAAAAATCATATTTATCGAATTTTCTTACAAATAACATATCGTTGGTGGAGTTTGATCTCTGTTATGAATGATTACTTTGTACGTATAAATATAATATTTTGTTTCACTTTAATTTTAAATTTCAATTTAATTAATGACGTTGAAAAAATCACCCATGTCAATACGATGTTAGTTAAGGTTAAACATTATTTTTGAAATTGCTTCTTCGTTTATTTAAATTTATCAAAATCATTTTTCGAGCAATGTGTTATATTTATATAAACTATTACGATTAATTATTTATTATTAATTCATATTTTTTGAGCAAAAGTACAAACTAATTTATTGACTAGTTCAGCTGATAATCTTCTAATTATTAATCTAAACTATAACAGTAGCTGTTTATGGTGGCATTACTAAAGGCAACTTGTTCACGTCATGCTTTGTTTTAAACTTTTTATCATATTTCTAAGATGTGCCAAATATAATAACATGACTCTTAGTTTGTACTGCGATTTTTGTTCTGTACAATAATTATATTTTATGGTATCGAGTTATACGGGCACCCATTAGGAAACTATCCCCACTAGCTCTTTTAGATGTTAAAAAATAATAATATTGAGATACGAACAATTGATTTTTTAAACATAATATTATAATATATAACTGATTAGTTATTTGACGCTTGTGAAAAAAAAAATTTGATGTTAATTATAATATTGTTAATAACACTTTAGAAAAATTCTAATAATTATCCTTTAGCTTTTTAACAATGGCCTATCGCAAAAATAATAAATAAATAAAAAAAGAGAGTATATATTATTATGTTTTTCCCTCTCTGAAATTCCTTTTGCGGGTGCCCAAGGACTTGGTCCTGTTAAACTATATGTGCGAATGATGTATACTGCTAATTTCGTAGCAAAGATCAATAATCATTATAAATTCAAGTGATTTTATTGATGTTAAAATATGTATTGTGACTTTTTTTTTTCTATGTTCAATACTATTGTTGTAAAATCGTTTTATTTTTATTTTATTATATTATTAATTTGTTTAGAAAATATTTATTTTGATGCTCGTTTTGTTTTGCTCATTACCGTTCTTCTTAACTGTTGTTGATGTAATATTAATATTGTTGTATTTATTCCTTCGTATATTATATGTGTGTATATATTTATTGGTATTGTTCGAAATTTTTTTCAGATGTTATTAAACGAAATATTCTATATTATGTAAAGTTAGTACTTATTGATATTTTCCAATCAATTCCCCATTGTGTGTGATTAGATTATAATCTTTCCAGAAACGAATCAAAATGCTTGGTTCTTAATAATACTTTAGAGGGTATGTTGGTCTTAACAAATAGCTTAAAAATTCAAATGACAACCTTAAATCAGAAGTAAATAGTGTTCGTGATAAAGTTTCAATTTTAGAATTTAACTAACAAGTCAGTTATACATTTTTCATTAGGCGGGTTGATTTTAGAAGCAAAACATAGGTTTATGAAAAGTAAAAATGCTAATAAATTAGTAAAGCAGAATCGCCTAATGAGGAGGTTAACCACGATACACTGAAAATTGCTAAAGAGTTGATAACTTATCTAAATTTAATGTAATAATCTAATTAAATATGTACAAAAAACTAAAATTCTCTTCGTCCATCAAACCTAATAGTAATTATTTCTGTTTATGGTGTAAAAATTATAATACATTTTGTGTAAATAACTGTAAAAACGTAATAATAGTTGTAAAAATGTTTTTGTTGGTTTTTATCAAAATGTTAGAGGTTTGAGAACTAAAATTAAGTTCATGAGAAATTTAAGCAAAAAGGTTCATGAATTTTCAGAAACGAGGGCTTTAAGCAAAGCTTTGTCAAAATGTTGTTACTTGAATTATTTGTGCAATGTACAAAAATAGTTTAACGTCTAATCCATCATACTTTTGGACTTATGTAAAAAAGTGAATTGCTTATCTACTACTTTAGAGTTAGGACAATTGTCATTATAAATTGCAGTCTGACTTGGATAAATTTTACTGGATTTAACGGATTAAAAATTTTAATGAGAGTAATGCTTACAAATTACTTTTGCAAGAACTAAATCTTATAATTATCACCAGCATATATAATTAATGGCTGTAACCTCATTGCTGTAAATCATGTTAAAGATCTAACAGTTTTTCTATCTGGTGATTTATCCTTTACGAAACACATCACATATATTTGTAAAAAAGCTTCACGTACATTAGGATTTTTAATGAATTTCAAAATATTGCATGCTTAAAAACTTTATATATTGCACTATTGTATGGTCTCCATATTATGTGGCTTGTGATATTAATAAGATTGAATCTTTACAACATCGATTTTTAACTTAATTATTCTACATTATTATTATTTCATTACTAAGTTATTTTTACTATTCACTCCTTTAATCATAATTTATATTTACAAACCATATGTTATTTACAATTTTCTGTACTGTACCTAACCTCCTAACCTAACCTTATGATAAATAAATAACCTAACTAAAAGTTTAAAACCATAAATTTAATTGTTTTAATTACCGGTGAGGTAGAGTTTGTCGATTGTTGTACAACAAAACAAATAAGCAACGTAAATAAATTATAATTTTTATTCAATGTTCATTTTTAAGCATTTGTATTGCATATTTGAAATGCCTGCTTAGTGTGTAATATTTCCCGATTCACAAAATATTATAAATGCTTTAAGTTTCAACATAACCATTATTAAAGATACATAAAGATGTTTATAACTACTCATTATCTAAAATTATCAGTTACCCGATCAAATTGATGAGTACCCGGCCATTTACAGTACCCGTTAAAATACAAAAGCTCTAGTTGTTACTGCTTATGTACATGGATAATTCGTTATTAATGTATTAACTACAGGATTTAGAGATTATCGACAATAATTTAGGCTTTAGTCAGTTGCGTTAGTTTTGAGTAATACTAAAATGATCCAACACCATAAAAGTATAAAATATTTGTCTTTCTATTTGGTTAAAGATCGAGTTACCCTCTTGAAAAAAAAATCCTCTTGAGTTTTTAATATAGATAATTTTTTCTTCAATTTTAAAAAGTCATGTGGTTTTTGTAGCATATTGTTTTATATTCCACTAATCAGTATGCGTGCTGTTGAGGGTTAAGCAAGTTATAATTAAGCTTTGTACGGTAAAAAATTACTTACAATATAAATATTTAAAGTAGCATCCGCATGTTTAGTTTTTAATATACAGAACGTTGATTAATTTTTTATTAAAATTAATAATTAAATAAATAGTTAGCACAATAAAAAAAAAAATAATAATCAAATTCAATTACAAGGAAATTGAAAACAATTTATTGTGGTAAGTTGTAGTAAACAAGACAATAAGGAATAATTTATAAATTATTTTTTGTTAATTACGTATGATTTACAGATGTATGTGTAATAATATGTCTTTGCTAAAATAATGTTTCTGAGATGTAAAAAAAAGTTGAATTAATTTCAACGTTTGTTATTAGAAACAATTTTCTATAACTTACATTTGGTTTATGGCATTGTTAAAAAATGTATACTGTGCTAGAAAAAAAGTTTTTCTTTTTCTGACGTTTAAAGTAATATACATATAGTGTTCTTCGACCTGAATACCTAATGATGGGAAATATTTAAGATTCGAATACCAGTTAGTATTAGAATTCTTTGGATACATTTCTAATAATGGGATAGTACCAATACTTACTATTAATTTAACTATTTCAATTATTCGAATCTAAAATTACATAATAAATATACCTCATATCAAACATAACCTTATGTTAATAATAAATACTATTTTGTTTTATATATTTAAGCTACGCACACTATTTATGTATTAATTCTACATAAAAAAATGATGTGTTGCAGTATCAATATGATATAACTAAATAGTTACTATTCTAAAATACAAAGCAAATAATATAATAAAAAATCATACGACATTTTTCAAAATGGCTGTACCAGCGCTGATGAAACAATTGTTTGCTACTATTGCAGGTAAGCTAAACAAATGATACATGTTTTAAATGTTACAATACAATGCTCTGTTTAAGTGTAAACAACGTATGCAGAGATGCATAATTTGCCCAAAATCAGTGCAGCAATATTGAGTATTGTACTGCATTTCTAAATGCATAGAGAAAATAAGATATTGACTCTGACGCTTCGGTTCTCAATCATGATAACTATTTAATTTATCTAACGGAAGATATTATGAAGCTCTTCTTAAAAGTCTGTTTGTCACTGACTTATTCAGGCCGTCTTTCATCTTTCGGAAATGTGACGCAAAATCCTTGGCTTTATTCTTGATCTCTTTGGGTCCTTTATCATTTCACAACGTAAGACCTGAGGTTGACGCTCACTCGAATCGTAACTATATCTTAAGGTGAAAGTAAAAAATAAAAATACACTTTAAATTTGCAATGAAACAAAATGAAGATTTTTTTCTATCGGAAAACTATCTATATTATGTAAAATTAAGCTTACAAAGTATAAAATTCAAAACAAGTAGTTATTGGTATACTTTAAAGTTAGTAGTATTACATTGGGTAAGAATAAATAATTGACAAGCGATTTTAATGAATTCGAGCATACACCGGTGACAGATAGCATTTACCAAATATCATTTTTCCTTAAGTCGCTGTGTTGCAAACAAATTTCAATTCGTGTCGTCTACTACTGTGAACACTCCTTCGAGCGAGGGAGACTCGCCTGTCCCGTAAGCCGTGTATCAAATGAAACCTAGTTAATCCGGATAAATTCACCCGACCACCGTAATGGGGTATACCTCATGTTGTAATAATTGTGTGTTTTAAAAATATTTTCGACTCTTATTCATTTATTGTTTTATGGTTTACAGCTTCCATTTCCATATTTATTGCAGGTAACTTTATGGGATGGCCTTCTGCATCTGCCGATAAGTTACTTCATCATCAGACTGACTTTAACGTAACAATACCACAATTTTCTTGGATCGTGTCTGTAATGGATTTGGGAAACATAATCAGTCCCATACCTGCCGGCTACATGATGGACTGGTTCGGACGCAAGTGGATCATAACGTTTCTAGGACCATTATACATCATTGCGTGGATACTCCCGATATGTATAGGTAACATATGGTCGCTATGCATATCCAGATTCATGGGCGGCCTGGGAAAAGGAATCGCCTTTACTGTGGTGCCAGTTTTTCTTGGAGAAATAGCTGGAGTCAAAGTACGCGGAGCATTAAGTACCGTAATTGCTATTCAGTTAGCCGGAGGTCTTTTGTTCGAAGTCATTATAGGTCCCCACGTGACGTACCGAACTATGAATATTACTTCAGCCCTAGTCCCTGTGATATTTTTGATAATGGTCATTTGGGTACCCGAATCCCCTTATTATTTATTGAAGAAAGGCCGCCGAGACGAAGCTGCTAAATGTCTTCGTTGGTACAGAGCTGGAAACGATACAGAATTACAAAACATGGAGCAAAACGTCCAAGACGAAATGAAAAACAAAGGAACGTTTAAAGAACTCTTCTGTAATCCGAAAAATTGTAAAGCAGTACTCATCATAGCTACAGCTTGTTTTGCTCAAAGAGCGGGTGGAATCAGTAGCTTCATTGCGTACTCAACATTATCTCTTCCTGAACCGGTACCATTTGGTCACAAATCTGATTACATAATATTATTCGCTGTACTGAAAACCGGAATTAACTTTATCGGTTTGCCTTTAGTCGACAAAATCGGACGACTGCCTTTGCTGATATTTTCTGAAGTGTCATTAGGCTTAGTCACTTTCATTAACGGTCTATTTTTTTTCATGCAAAAATATACCGACATGACTCAGTACAACTGGATCTCTTACGTTTGTTTGGAATTGTTTCCAACCATGTATTCTTTGGGTGTAGGGTTTATACCAGTGGTATTTTTAGGCGAAATGCTTCCGGTGAACGTGCGATCTCAAGGCTCAGCAATCATGTCCATAATATTAGCGTTTAGTACATTTATCTCCAATAAAATGTTTTTGTTCATCTCGTACTCTTACGGTTTTTATGTTATGCTGTGGATTTTTTCAACCATTAACTTGGTTTGCGCATTTTTGGCTTATGAAATGGCAATTGAAACTAACGGGAAAACATTTTCGGAAATTCAAGATATGTTGGAAAACAGTTTAAATAATGACTTGGTGGTAAAACAAAAAAGCATCAATAAATAAATCCGAATTTGTAATTGTTGTACATTTACATAATTCTTGATTGTTCTATAAAACTGTGATTCATACAACTATTTATGTATAAACTACTTATAAGTAAGATAAAAAAGTAATTTAATATATATATATATAAACGCTTTATTATACAAGTCCCGTATAAGAATATTTGTTTTTAATATTAAATAAAATAACGGAAATTCGGGAGAAGAGTCTATTGATAGGGGGGGGGGGCAAATGGACAGGAGAAACCGGTGATAGATGTAGAACCAGCTACGGCCAATGACAAACAAAAAGGCGGCAGCAAGAAAAGAATAGTGGGGTGACAACACGCAACAGCTTATATTAACTACAGGCAGCAGCGGAACGAACAACTGGTACCAAGCACTCATCACAGCCCTGGAGATGGAAAATTAAAGGCTTTCGAAATCATATTTAATAGTGGATAAAAGCTCCCTAATACACCTTGTTACACGACATGCATTATAAATGTATGACCAAAAAAGGGTTTTCGAAATAATTAACACCAACTTTTTGGGGAAAGTTACAAAGTACTACCTGCTCAGTGGTTCCAAAGTACGAGAACTCGTTGTAACTTCAATGCCAACGTTACAAATGTTGTTTAACAAATTATGTCAAAAATAGTTGTTTAAATCTTTTATGACCATATATCAATTTTTAATTTTCAATACTGTATATTTAGTACAGTCATCCAACCTATTTTCTTTCATAGAGCACCAGTCGAAAATTACTTAACCTTAGCAATAGGGGGAAAAATAGTTCATTTTCAACAAGAGTATCCTTAATTTATATTATAATAATAATTATTATAAAACACTTTGAAGTAAAAGTTACAGGATAAACCACTATTATTTAATTGTCTTACTCGTATTACCCAAATTATTAATAGTTTTTTAGTATTTTTTACAATGATATACATTTTTCTAATTAAAATATACTTAATGATCAATATTATTGTTACTATTTTTATATTGTTTTATTTTGTTAAGTATCCGCTTACATTTTCAGGTTATTATACGTGTTTTATATCGACTTAATGTATTAAACATTCATTATTAAAGAAGTACTAAAGAAGTTTATGGCTACTCATTATCTATGATTGTCTGATACCCGATCGAATTGACGAGTACCTGGACATTTAAGGTGTCCGTTAAAATACCAGAGCTCTAGTTGTTACTGTTTCTATACATATATAATTCATTATTAATGATGAAATATTAGATTATAGTTACTACGGGATTTAAAGACTATCGACAATAATTTAGGCTATAGTTAATTGTGTTAACTGTTAGTTTAGTGTGATAGTGAAATGATTCCACATGATGAAAATATTTCAAATGGATGAACTTTTGATACACTACTACTCTTGCTTGGTTTATGCTATGTTTTTTTTCAATATAAACTTAAAACAGAAAAACACATAATTATAGGGAACTAAAAGATTTTGGTATATTTTAGCTTTGATGCGGACTTTAAACATTTTAATTATACACCACGTCAACATTTAAATACTGTAAACAAGGTATGAGTAAAGACATTTTGCTGGAAGATGTGTACACTGCGCACACTGTTGCTGAGTAGGTACTTTCTAAAATTGCCATTCTAGGTCAATATCATTTTATTATAAATGACGTTATTGAACCTTCAATAATAACGTCAAACATCTCACCTATAGCAAGTGTGTTCATAGTTTAAAAAATATATATGTGTATATTTAAATGAACTGTTACTTATCACCATTAATTAACGTAATTATTTGTCGTTTAATACTTTTACATATAAATGTTTATAACAAATTAATATTTTTAATATTTTTAGTTAGAATTTAATAATAATTGTACACGGTGGATACTATAAAATCCAACGTTATAACATCAAGCTATACACATTATATGGTAAGTACCAATACTAAAATGTTTTATCTAGAAACAATACTAGATATTTATATAATGACTCATAATACTACAAATTAGATAGTAACCCGATTGTCTAGCTACCGGATTTGTACGACAACAATAAAAAGTAATAGGTCTTGTTAAATAAAATTATATTGATTGCTTACTTTAGTTGAACATTTTTATTTCATTAGATAGTATTATATGATTATATTATTCGTTAATGTGTAGTTTTGAACCGATTAATAACTTAAAACTCAAAATTTTTATTTAAAGAGGTTTAAGTTGATTTCTGTTACTATTGACACATATTTAAAATTAATAATTATTTTATAGACATAAAATGTTTTATTAAATCAACTAAAAACAATGATGCTTCTTGTGACAAATTTATTAATTTTTAAAATAATTTACTAAATCTCGATTAGTTTTGATAAGAATTTCAAATATGTTTTTCTATTTGGTTAAAGATCAAGATCTCCTTTTGATTTTTTGATGTAGATAATTTTTCTTTAAATTTAAAAAGTCATGTTGTTTTTGAAACATATTGTTTTATATTCCACTAATCAGTATATGTGCGGTTGTGGGTTAAGCAAGTTATAACTAAGCTTTGTGCATTCAAAAATTATTTACAATATAAATATTTCAAGTATGCATCCGCTTGTTTAGTTTTTAATATACAAAACGTTAATTCATTTTTATTACAATTAATAATTAAATAAATAGTTAGCTCAATAAAAAACAATAATAATGATCAAATTCAATTACAACAAGGAAATTGAAAACAATTTATTTTGGTAAGTTGTAGTAAACAAGACAATAAGGAATAATTTGTAAATGTTTTTTGTTAATTACGTATGATTTACAGATGTATGTGTAATAATATGTCTTTGCTAAAATAATGTTGCTGAGATGTAAAAAAAGTTGAATTCTTTTCAGCGTTTGAAATTAGAAACAATTTTCTATAAATATATTTTTTAAATAACATTTTGATTAAGACTTACATTTGATATATGGCATTGCTAAAGAATGTGTACTGTGCTAGAAAAACATTTTTTTCCTTTTTCTGACGTTTAAAGTGATATACATATAGTGTTCTTCGGCTTGAATACCAAATAATGAGAAATATTTGAGATTCGAATACTGATTAATATTGGAATTCTTAGAATCCAAAATTACAATTATAATTATACCACCTACAACATAGCCAAAAGTTAGTTATTAAACCATAGTTAAGAATATTAATTTTTGAAATCATAGGACTTCATTAATAATTTAAGGTAGTTTAATATCAGGTTATATTAAAACTTTAGAATTATACGCTATAAACTAACAAAACAAGGCCATCAATTTTACGGTTAACTAAACTAAACTAATACTAAATAAATAATTTTTTTTTTTTTATATAGTTTGGCTACTCACTCTATTTAAATATTAATTCTACATGAAACAATTATATGTTGCAGTATCAATATGATATAACTGAATAGTTACTATTCTTTAATACATAGCAAATAATATACTGCACAATTTTTCAAAATGGCCATACCAGCGCTGATAAAACAATTATTCGCTACTGTTGCAGGTAAGCTAAACAAATGATACATGTTTTAATTTTATAATACAATATTATATTTAAGTGTAAGTAATGTACTGAGAGATGCATAATTTGTCCATAATCAGTGCAGTAATATTAAATGTTGTACTGTTATTTAAAATGCATAGAGAAAATAAGATATTAACTCAGACACTTCTGTTGTCCATCATTATAAACTATATTTTAACTTTACGGAAGATATTTTGATTTATGAAGCTCTTCTTAAAATTCTGGAAAACTATCTTTATAATGTAAAATTTAGCTTATGAAGTATAAACTTAAAACAAATTGTATTGATTTACTTTAAAGTTAGTAGTATTATATTGGGAAGAATAAATAAATGTCAGACGACCTACATATGTGTCCGTTACATAATAGTCGGCCATTTTCCGATTTACAAGTATAAATGTCAGTCAGATATCTAGTTTTATTATTTTATATTATCTATAATACATGTGTGTGAATAGCCAATCTATTTCTATTATTATAATTTAAAATATCCTAAACCGTGATTAACACTCACTAAACACCTGTTGTTAAGGTGCATATCCACGTGTGCAAATCCGAATTTTCATTAGGTATCTTATTAACAAGTTTAATTAATGCGAGCATGCAGTGGTGTCAGCCGGCATTTACCAATTGTGATTTTTCCTTAAGTCATTATGTTGCATACAAATTTCAAATCGTGTCGTCTACTACTGTGAACACTCCTTCAAACGAGGGAGGCTCGCATGTCCTGTATGAAGTGTATCAGATGACACCTAGTTAATCCGGATAAATTCACCCGACCACCGTAATGGGGTACACCCCATGTTGTAATAATTGTGTGTTTTAAAAATATTTTCGACTCTTATTCATTTATTGTTTTATGGTTTACAGCTTCCATTGCCATATTTATTGCAGGTAACTTTATGGGATGGCCTTCTGCATCTGCCGATAAGTTACTTCATCATCAGACTGACTTTAACGTAACAATACCACAATTTTCTTGGATCGTGTCTGTAATGGATTTCGGAAACATTATCAGTCCAATACCTGCCGGCTACATGATGGACTGGTTCGGACGCAAGTGGACCATAACGTTTCTAGGACCATTATACATCATTGCGTGGATACTCCCGATATGTATAGGTAACATATGGTCGCTATGCATATCCAGATTCATGGGCGGCCTGGGAAAAGGAATCGCCTTTACTGTGGTGCCAGTTTTTCTTGGAGAAATAGCTGGAGTCAAAGTCCGCGGAGCATTAAGTACCGTGTTTGCCATTCAGTTAGCCGGAGGTCTTTTGTTTGAATTCGTTATAGGACCTCTCGTGACGTACCGAACTCTAAATATTACTTCAGCCCTAGTCCCTGTGATATTTTTGATAATGTTCATTTGGGTACCCGAATCTCCTTATTATTTATTGAAGAAAGGCCGCCGCGATGAAGCCGCTAAATGTCTTCGTTGGTACAGAGCTGGAAACGATACAGAATTACAAAACATGGAGCAAAACGTCCAAAACGAAATGAAAAACAAAGGAACGTTTAAAGAACTCTTCTGTAATCCGAAAAATTTTAAAGCAGTACTTATCATAGCTACAGCTTGTTTTGCTCAAAGAGCGGGTGGAAACAGTAGCTTCATTGCGTACTCAACATTATCTCTTCCTGATCCGGTACCATTTGGTCACAAATCTGATTACATAATATTATTCGCTGTACTGAAAACCGGAATTAACTTTATCGGTCTTGCTTTAGTCGACAGAATCGGACGAAAGCCTTTGCTGATATTTTCTGAAGTGTCATTAGGCTTAGTCACTTTCATTAACGGTCTATTTTTTTTCATGCAAAAATATACCGACATGACTCAGCACAACTGGATCCCTTACGCTTGTTTGGAATTGTTTCCAACCATGTATTCTTTGGGTGTAGGTTTTATACCAGTGGTATTTTTAGGCGAAATGCTTCCGGTGAACGTGCGATCTCAAGGCTCAGCAATTATGTCAATAATATTAGCGTTTAGTTCATTTATCTCCAATAAAATGTTTTTGTACATCTCGTACTCTTACGGTTTTTATGTTATGCTGTGGATTTTTTCAACCATTAACTTGGTTTGCGCATTTTTAGCTTATAAAATGGCAATTGAAACTAACGGGAAAACATTTTCAGAAATTCAAGATATGTTGGAAAACAGTTTAAATAATGACTCGGTGGTAAAACAAGAAAGCACCAATAAATAAATCCGAATTAGTAATTGTTGTGCATTTACATAATACTTGATTGTTCTATAAAACTGGGATTTGTACAATTATTTATGTATAAACTACTTGTAATGAAGATGTTCATGAAAAAGTAATTTTATCTATTTAAACGATTTATTAACGAAGTTATTTTTAATGGTGAATAAAAGTTACATAACACACCTTGTTACACGACATACATTTTAAATGTATGCCAAAAAAGGGTTTTTGAAAGTAATAATTAACACCAACTCTTTGGAGAAAGTTACAAAGTATTGACTACTCAGTGGTTCCAAAGTACAGGAAGTAACTTTAAAGCCATTTTTACAAACGTTGTGTAACAAATTATTGTAAAAAACCGTCGTTTTAAAGTTTTATGACACTGTATTAATAATTGTAACTTTCAGTTCTGTACATTCAATACAGTCATCTAACCTATTTTCATTCGTAAAACATTAGGCGAAAATTGCTTAACCTTGGTAATAGATGGAACAAAAAGTTTGTTTTCAACAACAGTATCCTTAATTTATATAATAATAATATTATAACATCCCAGATTTGGAGAAAACAATCTTGGGGTAAGAGTTACAGGATAAACCACTATTATTTAACTGTCTTATATTTCATCTATGCGCAGAATGTACTGAGTGCCACCAATTTATCAATAGTTGGTACATTTTTTTACAATGGTATTAATTTTAATAATAAGAAAAACCCTAATGACCAATGTTATTAATTAAAAAATAATATGTATTTTTTTTGTTATATTGTTTTATTGTTGTAAAGTACCCACTTACACGCTCATGCTATTGTACGTGTTTTATATTGACATAAAGTATTAAACATACATTATTAGCATCCGTTTATGATTAGACTAGTAATTTTTTGAAAGTTAATTTATAGTTATGTTATAAATGATTATCGTTTTAAATAATAATGCTATCTATAAGTCATAATTTGCTTATTTGCATAATTTACAATTTGCTTATCTTAATATAATATGGCTGCGAAAACTCTTAGTAATATAACTTTCTGGTACGATAAATGACAGTAGAAGAACAAATGTATAAGTAAGAATTCACTAGAGTTTAAAAATGGTTTCTAAGTATTTCTATCTAAGTTGGAATTATTTGTTATTCCCTTTTCACAGATAATATTTTCTTCATTAATAACTAAATTAGGTGTTGGAATTTCTTATAACATGATTGATTGGGCAATTCTTAAACAACTATTCGCTACCATATCGGGTAAGTTTAAGAATATAATACAAAATTATAAGATTAAAAATATGTATATTGATTACACTATCAAAATAATTATTCACTAATACAATTTTTCAAATGTAAATTAATATCTATATTTATAAATTTTATAACTTCGAATCATTTATACACTTGAATTTCATTTAAAGTAAAAGTAAAAATAATAATAATAATATTTAATGATAAAACTTTTATTTACAATTATAACGCATTTATTAGACTCTCCGACAAATTGTACAACACTAGCACTATGATTAATCTTTTCAAAATTAACTTGACTGCATCCATTTTTTCATACTTTATTGCATTATTCTAAATAAATAATAGTCGGAATAAATACCCTTACCACTAAACTTAATTCAGTTATCACTTATCCATTATTATTCACCTCTTGTCACTTATCCGTTATTACAGATCTCTTATCAGTTATCAGTTATACCTTATCACTTACATCTTATCAAAATACTCTATCAGTGATCCTTTATCATTAATGTCGTTTACTTTGATAAAGTATCAGTGATAAGAAATCGTAGGGGTTTCGTATAACGCTATTTTTGTTTTTATGCTCAGCTAAAAACATATTCATAACATAAAAATGTAGTGTTGTTTGTTTAGCGTCTCTGACAATATTCATCGCTGGTTGTTGGCTAGGCTGGCCTTCCGTTACTACTGAAAAACTGCTCAACAACCAAACTGACTTCAACATAACATATAGACAATTGTCTTGGATCATATCCATCATGGACATTGGCAACATATTAAGCCCTGTACCAACTGGGTTCATGATGGATTGGTTTGGACGAAAAACTACAATAGCAGCTCTGGGGCCAATGTACACAGCTACATGGATGCTCCCGTTGATGGTTAACCAAGTGTGGGCGTTGTACCTTGCCAGGTTTTTGGCTGGCATTGGCAAAGGAATTGCCTACACTGCAGTGCCAATATTTTTGGGTGAAATAGCTGAAGTGAAAATCCGCGGTGCCCTGAGTTCTGTGTTCGCGATTCAGCAATGCGGTGGCGTTCTATTCGAAACGATTATCGGGTCGTATGTGACGTACACAAATTTAAACATTATTTCTGTTACAGTTCCTGTACTGTTTTTCATTATGTTCATTTGGGTACCCGAGTCTCCTTACTTTTTATTAAAAAAAGGCCGTCGTGACGAGGCCGCTCAATGTCTACGGTGGTACAAAAGCGGCGATGATTCTGAATTACAGGAAATGGAACAAACCGTAAAAAACGACATGCAAAACAAAGGAACCTATTTGGAACTTTTGTCCAATCCGAAAAACCTGACAGCGATTTCTATCATAGCCACAGCGAATATCGCACAGAGAGCAGGAGGAGTCAGTTGTCTTTTAGCTTATTCGTCATTAATGTTACCCGAACCGGCGCCAATTGGTCAAAAGTCCGATTATATCATTTTGTTTGGCGTGCTTCTGACCGCTATCAGTTTTGTCGGAATGGCGTTAGTGGACAAAATTGGACGGAAACCTCTTTTGATACTATCCGAGGTGTCTTTAGGAGTGTTTATGTTTATCAACGGTCTATACTTCTACATACGCTGTTACACAGCTGATATGACAAATTACAATTGGATCCCATATTTATGTTATGAATCGTATGCCTTCATGTTCGCCATGGGCTTGGGGTTTGTCCCAGTAGTATTTTTGGGAGAAATGCTTCCGGTCAACGTGCGTTCTCACGGTTCAGCACTCATGTCAATAGTCTTAGCATTTAGCTCGTTTGTTTCCAACAAAAGTTTTCTGTTCCTCTCTTATGGTTATGGGTTCTATGTTATGTTTTTTGTCTTCGCAGCCGTCAATTTCATTTGCGCCTTACTAGCCTACTTATTTTCGTTTGAAACTAAAGGTAAAACTTTCGCAGAAATTCAATCTATATTGAAAAAACATTAATCGTATGCGGCATAAAACCATATCGAAGTGCAAATGAAAATTGTAAATGACAATATTGTTGTCCTAGGTTCTTCACAAATCACAAGTGTGAATATTTGTGAAGCTCAGATAGTAAATTATTTTACGTTTATATGATAATATATAATATTATATTAACATTGCAGGGTTTATTCGCTTTTAGCTACCTAATTTCTTTATAATGTAATACAACGTTGCATTTTGCACTTGGTTGAAAATTCTTGACAATTCTTGATGTTTTATAAAATTACTAGGTTAAATTTTATTTTTTAGATAAAATTACAACTACAGCTAACTTTTACAAAGTTGGTTTTGATATTATCTTGAACTAATCAAGTGCAATTTTTACATCTAATAGGTCAATAGGTAAGTTTATATTAGCCAAAGTGAACAATAATCATTAACCAGACGAAATAAACAATATGTATGCGATGCTGAAACCTAACTACATACCTATTACAATTCCTATTTCTTTACAAGTACCCTAAATTTAATATAAATTGTATTTAGTCGGTATTTTTACAAATCAAGTCTAATTATTTCCGTTAAAGTATGTTAAAAATAACATATTTTCTATGTTTAAATATTTGCCTTTAGTATGCTATCCATAGTTTTGTCATTCCTAAAAGTCTATAGGCCATAGCATTAATGTAATTTAAAGAATTTCGTATTCATAATTCATTTTTAAAAATATTATTTACAATACTATATTATTTAAATATTATTTAACTTTTAAGTATTAGAAATAATTTCCAAACATTTATACAGATGATTTTAAATCACATTTTGGAAACATTCATTATTGCGCTAAAAACTCATCAAAACATAATTAAAAAATATTGAAAATATGTTTGACACTATTTTGAAAATATTTCAACTGTTTTACTGTTAAGTATTTAAATCAATATTTTATTCATTAGTTATATTATAACTAAACTCGCAAGCACCGGACGATGAAATACTACAATATTCCACCGTTTATAAATGACATTCCTCTGTTTTCTGATTATAAAACGTACTATAAAATAATAATTATCTGAAAATAAATATTAAGTATACATAGTTGAGGTATAGCCTTCAATGAACCAACTATTTTGTTTATTCATCACAAGGTGATTACTTTTTTAGCTTCTATTATAAGATAATAACTCAAGTAGGTAACAAGTCAAAAACAACATTTATTAATTATAACACCCACCTTTGTGTTGAAGTAATCATTTTATAATCATATTATGAAGTACAATCCAATGAAATATATGATATTATAAGATTTTGCGAATTAAAACATTCGTATTATCAACTTAGTGACTAAATCACTTTACTCGATAAGAGTAAACTATGAAGTAAAAAAAAGTGACGCATTAAAATCACAGTTATTACATTATTAATGTCAAAAGGAAAATAACAGTCACAAAAATAACAAATATCAAAAATACAATTTAAAACTTATTTCAATTTCAAATAGATGTACCTAATTTAATCTTAGTTATTTTTTATTTTAACCGGGATCATACATACAATGGCTAGCAACGGATTGGCGAAACAAATATTCGCTACTATATCAGGTTAGCAGTCTTAGAATTTACTAAAAGTTTAATGAAAACAATAAAAACTAATCTTGATGTACCATAAAATTATTATTTAAACTTTCGACGCTTAAAAAAATAGAAATATTTTAACTTTAGATCTTAGTAGTCAAATTCATTGTTTCCTTCCCTTCCTTTCATAACTAAAGTTAATAATATAATATTAAGAATATGTATTAGAATCATAATCTTATACTAAAATAAATAAAAATAGGATGTACATTTAATAGACAATTCTAGATACAGAAATTTGTTTCAACTACAAAACAAGTTTTCATATTTATTAAATCAAGAATAGTGTTTTATCGTAATAACAATTTAATTTTGTAGTAATAACACTATTAATAGTATCAAGTTTTTAGTGATTTTCACAGTTTTTCTAAGCTTTAATTTAATTGTATATATAAAAAAATAGTTTTTATGCTTTTATTAATATAATAATAGCAAAAAACTACAATGGTTTAGAAAGTATATTTTTTAATATTTTTAATTTTAAGAAACCACCACAATAAAAATTTAACTAAATGGACAAGTAAATCGCTAAATTTTTAAGTGAATATGTAAATTACGTTACGTTCTGAAGTTATCCACTTAGATTTTCATTAAATCTTATATTCTTAAAAACGACTTCTGAGTTTTGGCCGGTTTAACTTCACTGTGTTAGGTATATACTAGAGATCCCTATTACACGTGTATTCGATTACACGTGAAACCCGTGTAATTAACATACACGTGTACACGTGTAATTATAAATACACGTGTATTCAAAACAATTTATTTTTGTTATCAATTTTAGTTTTACGTTTAATATCACGTCTATTTAATTATACGAACTCAAACACAAGTATAATTGTGTAAATACGTTAACCAAACTAACATTTTTAACAAAATAATTTTTTTTAAATACACGCGTATTTATAATTACACATGTATATACACGTGTATGTTAATTACACGAGTTTCGTGTACACGTGTATTTAAATTACACGTTTAAAATCACAGGCACTAGTATGTACCTAAAACAATTTTTTTCTCATAAAATGTCAGTAAACAACTTTAAAAATTTTAAGTTATTAAAAACATTAATAATAATAGGTAGTGTTCATGTAATACACATCAATTTTCATGTCCTTGCCTTTATTTAGTTATCTTTATGAATCACATTACTAAGTATTGTTTTCACAATCGGTTTTCAACTAGAGATAGTTTAACTTATCGCCTCTCATATGTATTGTTGCTTAGCATTATGTTGTTATTTATATTATTGTTGCGGGTGTAATCAGAATGCACAATACTTGAAGCACAATCGATTTTTGTACGAGAAAAAAAATTAGATTTCCTATTGAAGGGGCTGTAGTCAAAATTGGGCATTATTTAGATATTTTTTTATTCAAATCATTTATTCGAATGACCGACGAATTATTTTTTTTTTTTTTTAATAGGTCATCTTAGATTTTGTCGAATAAAAAAATTGTTCGGGTAAATCATCTTAAATAGTATCGAATATAGAGAATATTCAAATAAACTAGTTGTTATTCGTTATTTGAATAAAAAATGCCTAAGTCTGACTGTGGTAGATTGACAAAAAAAATAACTACACTACCGATAAAATATCAAACCAGTAGACAGTATACTAAGCTTCACCTCCCAAGATTACAATAAACACCAAACCGCCACACCATCAGTGTTAGAATAACAGTATAACATTATAATGAATTTTGTATTTGTTTAGCGTCTTTGTCGATATTTATCGCCGGCTGTTGGCTCGGGTGGCCAGCCGCTACCACCGACAAGTTTTTAAACCACCAGACGGGCATCGAAGTGACGTACCCTCAGTTATCGTGGATCGTATCTTGTATGGACATAGGAAACGTGCTCAGCCCGATTCCGGCTGGTTTTTTGATGGACCGATTCGGTCGGAAAAAAACCGTCATTTTTCTGGGACCGGTGTTCATCGTTTCCTGGGCACTGCCCGTGTTCCTGAACCATATTTGGGCATTATACCTGGCCAGATTCTTGGGCGGCGTAGGCAAAGGAGTGTCCTACACTGTGGTGCCGATATTCCTGGGCGAGATAGCCGGAGTGAAAATCCGCGGAGCCCTGAGTTCGGTGTTTACCATTCAATTGGCAGCCGGTATGTTGTTCGAGCTCGTTGTTGGGCCTATCGTGACGTACAAGACTCTGAACGCCATTTCGGCGGTGGTGCCCGTGCTTTTCTTCATTCTGTTCATTTGGATAGCCGAATCTCCGTATTACTTGCTGAAAAATGGCCGCCGCGACCAGGCGGCCAAATGCCTCGGCTGGTACAGGGCCGGCGACGACTCGGAATTACAACTGATGGAGGCGACCGTCCAAGAGGAAATGATGAACAAAGGAACGTACAGTGAACTTTTTACGAACAAGAAAAATCTGAAAGTGCTGTTCATCGTGGTCTCCGCGTGTTTCTCCCAGCGGGCAGGAGGCGTCAGCAGCCTGATAGCCTTTGGGTCCCTATCACTTCCCGACCCGTCGCCGCTGGTCAGCAAATCCAACTACATTGTCCTGTTTGGAATCCTGCACGTGGCCTTATCGTTCGTCGGCATGTCTCTGGTCGACGTCGTCGGTAGAAAACCGCTGTTGATACTGTCCGAAGCATCGCTGGGAGTGATAACCTTCGTGTACGGGCTTTATTTCTACGTGGGGATGTACACGGACGTGTCCCAGTACAATTGGGTGCCGTACGCGTGCTATGAAATGTTCTCCGTCATGTATGCTTTGGGCGTAGGCTTCATTCCGGTGGTGTTTTTAGGCGAAATGCTCCCGGTCAACGTGCGCGCCCACGGGTCTGCTGTCATGTCGATTGCGTTGGCATTTAGTTCGTTGGTTTCCAACAAGATGTATCTGTTCGTATCGACCACGTACGGGTTCCACGTTATTTTGTGGGTTTACACGGTGGTGAATTTAGTGTGCGCCTTTTTGGCCTACAAAATGGCCCTGGAAACCAAAGGTAAAACGTTCCTAGAAATTCAAAACATGTTGGAAAACAGTGGAAAAAATGGTTCGGAAGGAAAAATCAACGCGAAAACATAAAAGCATAGTAATATTATACTAACTTTGACGATACAATTTTACGGTTTACTTCGATGCTTGAGTGGACATAAAAATTCCCTGCTAGTTATTTTTAAAGTCGCTCTCGATCATCAAAAAAGACTCTTGTCTATCTATTACATTCCTCTATATAGACATAATTAGTTAATAACTAATAATGTTTAACACTTGGAATAATTTTATTATAAGAGTAATTAGTAAAGCATATATTGCACACCTAGATCAAAACTGTAGGAACTTAAAAAAACTTATTTTCAAGTTTAATTACTTTAACTTGTTGATTAAACTTAAACTGTTTATTTTAATAAAACAGTTTTGTACAACCAACTTGCGTGCAATCCGCTTGATATCCGAACAAAAACTAAAGTTTTAAACGGTTTTGGTAGTTAGAATTATGGAATTAGTCATTTTTACAAAAGGTGCTTACAGCTTAAATTTGTTTTGTTGGCTCATGCAACTTCGTTTGTAGAATCCGAATATACAAATAACTAAAAATAGGTACTCACTTTTTGAGTTGTTACAGTTTTGATCTTGGTGTGCGACATGAAAAATAAGAACATTTTGTTTAACTTAATAACTTATATATATAGATATATATATTTATTAGTTTACGTTCTTCATATTTTATTATATTTTGTGTATTAATATTACCTTGTTATCTTGTTTATGTAAATAATACCTACGAGAATTTTATTTTAACTCTGTACACTTTTTCCAACACCACAAAACTTTTGCATTATATAATAAGATAACAATTTGACGATAATAAATTATGATAGATCAAGACAGACATATTATTAACCATGTATTAGTTAGAAAGGGGCCTAACCTAACCGGGGGATGTTCGAAATTTATTTCAAATTATTAGAAAAGTTAGGTTAATTTATATCTGAAAATATACAAAAAGAAAAATGTATGAAACTTAAGATATACAGTTATATTATGCTGTGGTAGCCAATCAGGCAATCACCCGGTATTATTCAACTACAAACTATACTGAATATTATGGTTATAATGAGAATGATGTAAAATGGAAATTATTAGACCTTTAAAGCACTCGCAATATATTAATACACTTAATTATAATCTTAGCTCTGACTTGATCACTACAGACGAATAATTTACTATTCGGATTATCTTACTACAATTACATTATGATAATTAAATAATGATCAAATACAATTATAGAATTGCAATTAACGACATAATCATATATGAATAATTGCAATGACATAATAAATAATTATAATATCGGTCACATTTAAGTGTTTCCAATTTTTCACCATTATTTTAATCGTAGGACCAATGCCTTAACACTACCAAACCAAAGTTGAATAAAAATAAACCCAGTAAAGTAATTAATATAGTGACAATACACCAAATGATGTTCAGCCGATGTTTATCATGTTTAGAGATAATCATCCATTATATAGTTGGGTATTTTAATTTGCTAATCTATTGTCAGCAGTTTATTATACACATATTTTGAATTTTTTTTAGTCATAGTAATTGTTTAATTTTCAAACCGATACGGGTATTTGTAATATATTGACGTTTTCTTTGAGATTAAATATCTATTAACTACAATAAAAACAAAATATGGTTTATAGAAATTAGCTAAAAGCAATTTGCGTTTAAATCCTTCGCAAGTATTATTCTCAAATGTAAAGTACATCAATTGCTTTGACATAGGTACGTTGAAGTTTCCATCTCGTTTTTCCACAAAAATCGAATTCAATTAAGAACATTTAAACCATAAGGGTCTATGCTATACTTTTTTAAATACCCCAAAGTAATGACCTACGACACCATTGGACTAGTTAATAATGATAAAACGGGACATACTATTGTGCACGGTTGTATTAAAATATGATGTGTCCAAGGATAACCCATAGGTTATCTGCAATTATTAACCACTGAATATTATTGTAAAAGACATTCAGTACGTAGGGTTCTAATAAGGTTTATGGAATTTGTATCGTTAAATGTCAAACTTATTGTAGGCTTAATGACTGTATTATTTTTATTAGTTTATAATAATTATTATCCTATACAATTTCACTACAGTGATGGTATTTTTGTAAATAGCGATAAAAGCAATTTTCTTGCCACACAATCGAGCACATTGTGGCAGATGCTAAACGACGCGGTGTAATCGTTGTAACTAGTTTCAATAATATCAAATGGCTACTTGATCATTACTTTTACAATGACACATATCATTATATTAGTGTGTAACTGAGATTTGGTCGTATAATGTCATGTCTCGTCACATTCTAAGCTACACAACTAATCGGAAATATCTCAACAAACATAAAGCGCTAAACGTCTTATTTTTATGAGGACCTACTATATAGTGCAATTAATTATATAATTTAAAAAAAAATAGGTAAGTTGAACATATACTTAAACGCCGTGTACTCCTCATCATTACTTATATGTACTTATTATTACATATATCTAACAATATGCATGCACCTACCTATTTTGGGTCTATAAGGGCAAATGACAATATTTTTGGCAAAAATGAGTTAGACCATTAAATATGTAAATTAAAATACCCAAATAAAATTTTTTTTAAAAATGTAATACTTAAATAAGTTTTTGCTAAGTATTACAAACTATTTTATTGACCATCCTATTTTAGACCCAAAGTACAGAAATTATTATTACTATTAAGTAGCTGTATATAATTTTAATTGAATGTATCTACATAATAATTAAATTACCTACACAATTAACAGGATTTATAAATTGACAATTTTTTTTTTTAGAACAATAAAATTAATTTACTGTGATATATATATTATATACACACAACTGTATACAAAATGATGGACAAAGCGTTATTGCGCCAAATCTTTGCCACCGTGTCAGGTAAGCAGATCTTATGTTACAGTAATATTATTTTTTATTTTTTTTTATTTTACAATACGGGCGTTAGCCAAAAAACAATATTTAAACAGTTTAACATCAAAAAACTTAAGTATTAATATTATTTATAAATAAATATATAGCATGCAATAAATATTATACAAAATAATGATTACAAAAATAACTACATGATTAATAACTGAATAGAGACACTTTTTTTTTGATTGGCTAAATGTCAACGTATTTACATAATTTACAAAGATAGTAAGAAATAATTATGAAGTATGTATATTTTGCTCTGCCTTTTTCCACACAAATTAGAAAATCAACCAGCAAAGCATATCTTACCAAATAAATTCTATCATTTACATCCATTGCATAATTTATTTCACATATCGCCATGCCCTAATAAAATGTGTATTGACATTGGTTTATTTTTTTATAATCATACTTTTACTTTGTTGAATATAATAATGATAATAAAAGTTATAGTAAAATATATTATATACATAAATTGTTGACGTTCAAACATGCTAGGTATAGATATATTTAGTATTTATATGGTCTTTATCTTCTGGATAGTGAATTCAGGGTGAACTGAAAATTCTATCTACACATTTTAAGGGTCAGGGGGTCCCGGATAACGTTCAGTAAACGATCAAGCTTTTAGAAATGTCTACAATTAAAAATTGAGTGATTAACAACCATCATTCCGTGGTTACGAAAATGACAAATAAAAGTGTTAAGAAGCGTAGCCGACTACTACACACTTTTTATATTTTATAATTCATAAATAAACAAAGATTCTCTTGGCGAAACCCTACATCTAATGTAATCACACCATAGTTATACTTGAATACTTATTCAAAACCCAGAAATTTAACTAGTTTTCTAAATGTGACTTTAACAGGTCCATTTTTTTAAAAATGTGTAGGGTTATGAATAAATGAAGGAGAGTTAATACATTTTACGAAAAAATAGTAGAATTATTAGAAAGGCGACAATTTTGATAACAATTATTCTAGGAGAATTTGTATATTTTGTTTCATTAATGAAAAATTGCCCGTTACATGAATTACGATTGCATAGGTCTTTTTAATACCTAGCGCCCGTAGTCGTTGTCGTTCCACCTAGCCTACGACTAAGTTCCTTATGCGAACATAATAGTAAAACATTTTCTTAGGTGCTTTACAATCACAAGATGATTACTTGTCTTCTACATCGTCACCTCGTGCCATAAAATAGGATAGGATAGACAGTTCCTTTCTCCGCAAATCCCTATCCATCACCACTTCTATCTCCATTTGTTTTCTTCGGTCTACCTTTGCTTGTAAATCCCTCCACGCAAATTTGTCTTCCCATATGGTATTACATGTCTAAATCGAAAGTGTTTGTTGTTTAGCTTCCATGTCGATATTCATCGCTGGAAGTTGGGTGGGCTGGCCTTCTGCTACCACAGAAAAGTTCATCAAACACCGAACAGGCATTGACGTGACCCTGTCACAACTGTCCTGGATTATATCAATAATGGATTTCGGAAACGTGTTAAGTCCAATACCGGCTGGCTACATGATGGATCGATACGGCCGCAAGATAACCGTAGCAGCACTCGGGCCGTTGTACATTGTTTCGTGGGCGCTGCCGGTGTTCATCAACAACATTTGGGCGTTGTACCTGGCCAGATTCTTGGGCGGCTTGGGCAAAGGCGTGTCCTACACTGTTGTGCCGGTGTTCCTGGGCGAAATAGCCGGAGTGAAAATCCGCGGAGCTCTGAGTTCCGTGTTTGCCATTCAGCTGTCCAGCGGGATTTTGTCCGAGGTCATAGTCGGACCTCACGTGTCCTACTGGATGCTGAACATGCTGTCCGGTTTGATTCCCATCGTTTTCTTCCTAATGTTCATCTGGGTACCGGAATCTCCGTATTATCTGTTGAAAAAAGGACTACGCGACGAGGCGGCCAAATCCCTCAGGTGGTACAGGGGCGGCAGCGACTCCGAACTCCAGCAAATGGAAGAGAATGTCCAGGAGGACATGAAGAACAAAGGCACCTTCCGGGAACTGTTCACCAACCCGAAAAACGTCAAAGCTCTCATGATCATAACGACGGCCAGTTTTGCGCAGCGAGCCGGTGGCATTAGCAGTCTCCTGGCTTATTCCACGCTTACACTACCCGATCCAGCGCCGTTTGGTCCCAAAATCAACTACATAATCGTGTTCGTCGCACTGCTGACCGGCGTCAACTTTGTCGGTTCGGCTTTGGTCGACAAAATCGGACGAAAGCCGCTGTTGATACTGTCGGAAGTGTCGTTGGGCGTCATCACGTTCATCTACGGTTTATTCTTCTACTTGCAAAACTACATGGACATGTCCAAGTACCACTGGGTAGCGTACGTTTGCCTGGAGATGTTTTCCGTTATGTTCGCAATGGGAATCGCGTTCATTCCCATAGTGTTCCTGGGCGAAATGTTCCCAGTCAACGTGCGCTCTCAATGTTCGGCCATCATATCGATTGTGCTCGCTTTCTGTTCGTTCGTCTCCAATGAGATATTCTTAATCGTGTCAGCAAATTACGGATATAATGTCATGTTATGGACCTTCACAAGCATAAACTTCATATGCGCTTACTTAGCATACAAAACAGTGATTGAAACTACTGGTAAGACATTCGGTGAAATTCAAGTTCTCCTGGGAGAGAGTTTGAAACGAAAAACCATAAAAGGAGATCTCCTGGAGTCAGAGTCGGGAGTCTAACATTTAAACATTTTTAGAGCTTATCGATGTTCAAAAAATAAACTAGTACAATTTTGGTCAGATACCAACGCGGAGATGTATTTAAATATTTTGTACAGTTGTGCCTACTGTTTTCCTTTAAATGTATTATATTTTTAGTTTAAATAATAACGGATATTATATAATTTCACACGTCATGTGTATCACTTAAAATGTTTAAAATAACTTAAGTGTGACTTATTTATAAATATAATTCGTTTTTACATTGATTCCTATCATATATTTATATGTTTAATCATTTAACAACCATATAAATCATAATCAACAGGGGGAAAGAAGTAATTCTTCAATACCAGATTAAAGATCCAATAGATGCTAAGTAGGTACAATTAAGCGGAAGTATACCTCGTGTTACCAGAAAAGACAATTGCGTAGAAACCAAAAAGAGAAGCAAATTGAGAAAAGGGTATACACTATTTATTAAGTTATTCAATACAAACAATTTTTATATAATGTGCTGGAACATTAAGTTTTACAAGATTATAACAATAAAATATTTAATAAAACAGTCAAAATCAATCTACTACTAGAACATTAATAATATAAACCAAAATGTTGGGTACATAATAATTAATATTTTTGTTAAGGCCCCTGGATACCGACCATTTTTAAGGAGTTTTGTATGGGCAATTTGCGTATTGGATCACTGGTTCGGCCTGTGCGATGGACAAAAAGTGATGTGTTTTGGCTGAAGAAAACAGTCGGTATCCTTACGGTTGGGCCTTAATACATAATACATAATATGTAACGACTAATATTTATAGTTACATAACTTATCATCATAACAATTATTATTCTAATGAAGTTTTCTAAATATTTTAATTGTATACAAAATTATATAATCAAAAACAAATACCTATACAAAAGAAATGGTTATAGTGAAACGGCAGATACCAAAAAGCTTTGTCATTGCACAAAAATGTTGACATAACTTTTATAATTTATACTTGAAATGGATCATTTTAATTTTTTAACAATTCGGTACTAAAAATAAAAACTGTTTTAGTTCTTTTAATCGATAATTTAAAACTAGTTAAGCTAAGGTGTCGAGTTATAAAAATACATTGGTAAAATACATTTTAACAATATAAATATACTTATATATTTGTATGTTTTTAAAAAAAATCTTCTTCGTCACAATAGTTTACTGTGGTTTCATCGCAGAGCCCATACAACTCGCCATAATAAACAGTCAATGAGTTATATCTCGAATTGAGAACATTTTGCTGAAGTTCTATCCAGCCACCGTAGGACGAACTTATGCACTGTCCAAACAAAATATAATTTAAAAACTTTGTATTAATCATAATACATAATTATATTTAATTAAAATAAGAAACATATACACTATATACATGACTTGAGGTTACTCCCACTTGGATGTCTTGACTAGTTCGCCAACGTTCGGAAAACTTGCACGTTCCATCTTCAGGGCTGTGGTTCATGTTGCTCGTACCGCGCTCTCCTGCAGACAGGAACTTGTTGGCGAACTAGTTAAGACATCCAAGTGGGAGTAACCTCAAGTCATGTAAATAGTGTAAATATAATACCCCACTCAAGTTTCAATAATTTTTTAATTAACATTTAGATTCTTACGTCAAAAATATTTGTGTTTTTTGGTAAGTGTAGTGCAATGTCTGAAGTGATTTGTTTAGCGACTGACAATAAGTTGTCTCCACCACCGTACTCGGGCATTATGTTTGACAAGTTGAACTCTTCCTGGTTCATAAGCTCGGGTCCGCCCCAGGGAGGTGATAAGAAAACTACATCGCCTTTCAATGTTGGAGCCAAGTCGAAAAAATCACCAATAATAAATTCAATTCGATCAGCAACTCCATATACCTCTGCGTTATGGCGAGCTATTTCGATTTTCTTAGGATCTTTATCAATTGCTATAACTAATATTATTGACAAAGAAAATAAGGTAATTTGTTAATTGCAATAGTTTCTAAAATCGAACTATGACATGTTCATGTTGTAATCTTACCAAGTTCACATGTCATTGCAAATTGTATAATATTTCCTCCGGCTCCACAAAACGGATCAATAAGTAAATAACAACTACAGCGTTCGGCTATATGTCGGCTTATCACTTCAGGTGTTACAGAATACCAACTCTCTAAAATTAATTTAAAAAAAAAAAAAATTACAGTATATAAAATACATGTTTTACAAAGTAAAATATTATACAATTACCTTCATCTAATCGTATTCCTTTAGCGAATTTTGAAAACAGAGTATATCTTTTTTTCCAATATTTTAACAATTTTGGATTATTTCGCAAGTCACTGTAGCCAAACTTTTCTAGTTCCTTTTCCGAATTGTCTTCCAAATATTTTTTTCTATTTTCTTTTTTAATTGATTTTTTACTCAAATTATTACTAGTGATCGGACAACCACAAACTGTACTACTCTATAAAATGTATAGCACATAATGAGCACAATTTCATCGGCTAACCATTAATTGAAACTTCTATAAGCCGGGATGAAGGACTTGGATTACCAAACACCGGAATGTTGAGTTTGCATGTTATTAGGAAGTGGTTTGTTTTATAAAGCATTGGCCATTGTCACATATCCAAAACAAATTTCTACATCAAGCTTGTGTGAAATCAGATTAGTAAAACAGTATGTCTTACACGTGTCATATAAATGTATGTAGAATCAAACCTTTTGCGTTTTTTTAATTGCACATAATAATTATTAAGTTTAAGCAAAATATACAAAGCAGGAAAACACCAAAAGTGTACTGTACAATGATACATTTGATAAATAAATAAAAACATACATCATTGCTGCAAACACATTTTTTCCCATCTAAGTTTTCAATATGGACACTTTTGCCATTATGTCCAGTTTTCTAGAATATTAAACATAGATTGTATTAGTTGCCAAGGTATAGTTTATTATCATTTTGTATACCATGAGTTTGTATAAATAACCATTATTTATTATAATATACCTTTTCTGGAAATCGATAAATGTTTAAATGACGAGTAGACTTTATTAAATGTCTATTATGATATAGACAAAACGAAGAATTATAAAAAGACTGATCGTTATAAACAAATCCCATTATACTCAATGCTCTGTAACCTTCCACAAGCTTAGAATTGAGATCAGGGAAATGTCTAAAAAAAAAAAAAAATTCTTCAGATTAATAAACATAACTTGGAACAATATTACAAAATACAATAATAACCAAAATAATTATTAGTTATATATTAAAAATATAACTTATAATTGTGGTTTGTTCACAAGTGTACCTGTACATGTAAACTTACTTATATTTGAAAATAAAATCAAAATTTAAAGAATTATCATTTTTATTTCTAATCTTCTTCTTGTTATAACTTGAATTAGAAGTCTGGTCCACTTCATCTCTTCAAAAAAAAATAAATAAAAATAAGTCCAACAGTTTATAAAAATAAATATAATTTTATATTAACTATTTTACAAAAAAAAAAAAATAATCGAAAATGAATTGTTAACAAAAAAATGTATGCATAAAATCTTACAGGTTTTCATTTTTTGATTTCTCTATGTTAATTAAACTCCAGGCTTTATCTTCCATAAACTTCCAATACAGTATATTATATTGTTGTTGCTTATGATTTAGGTACAGTTGTTCAACATCCATATCCAAGTCATCTGTTGTACAACTGCCATACTGTTTTATCCATGTTTCATTAACAAACTCATCACCGTATTTTTCCCAATAAGCATACCATTCATCATAATAATTATCATTCTCAGTGTTTTCATAATGCTGTTGTTCTTCTTGATTTAGTTTTAATGCACTCTCTTCACAGGATTCCGATTTTTGTACAGCATTTTGTTCATTTATGCTATTACAGAAATATGAATATTTAATCTATACTCTATTCAGAAAAAGAGCGGTCCGCCGGCCGACCAATTTTCGTCGGCGGGTAAGAGGTTTCTCCCACCAAGTCGAGGCGCGCGATGCAATGCTTCGGAAAACAAAGCCACACCCATGCACAGCCCGGACCGCTCTTATTTTGAATAGAGTATATAAAAAGTACTTCACTATCAAATTTATATAATTTGTAACATAGAATTTCTGTACAAAAAGTATTTTACTTTTTTTTTTCAGTAAAATATGCTATCAGTTACATAGTACATTATATCATTAATTATCTATATGATAAAATATAAAAAGTTATAATAAATCTTACTTAAAATGATTTTCAAATATATTCAAACAAATATCCGTTGACGAGATGGAACTGGATGATTTAAAATCTATGTTTTTATTATTCTGGTCTGAATCAGTGCTATTTTCTAATAATGATTCTATAGAACCCGTTGTATTAAAATCATCTGATGATCTTTCGTCAATTGCGTTTGATTCATGTGATGATCCAGTAAATTGTTCATCAAATGTAAACCTAAATAGAATTAAATACAATTCAAGTGATAATATTGATAAACTGTTAAACAATATAAAAATAAATAGTATAATATATAGTATATAGTATAATAAATAATATATAGATGAATAGTAGCAATTTGTATATAAGTGTTAAGTTCCCTGTTCCAATATTACTCCCAACGAAAATGTTATGTTTTTCTTAGTATATTTTATACAATATTACTAAATATAGAGTACATTATTAAAGTAACAACTAAACTTGGAATGTTTTTTTTTATATTTTAAGAACTTACCTAGTACTATGTTTAGCTAAAAGACGACTGCATAGTAATTTGACATTTGAACGTACAGTATGGTCTCCATACAATGTAATTTCCCCGAGTAGTTCATACTTGTTTTGCATAATACAATCCTATAGAGATTCCTTATAGTTCCACTAATTTTGTGTATTGTTCAAATTAAATACTTTCTCAGCTTGGCACAAGCCACAACTTGACCGTTTTTATTTTTCTCTTAAGGTGCAATTAAAATAGATAATTATAAAATAATTTATACAGCTTATTAATTAATTTATATGTCTTGAGATGTACGGATGGTACATGATGTACACATGCTTGGCAACTATCAAAAACATTAAGCAAATTTACTATAAACACACTATAATATAACTGATGATAACATTATTTATATTATAAAATGATAACACGATAATATAAGAAAACATTACGAAATCAATGGCGGGAAAATTATCAGACACCTATAAAAAGTAAAAACATTTTTTGACTTTTTTCTGAGAACATTTAATACTTTTTTGTTCTGTAAAAAATTTGTATTTTATTTTAAAGTCTTTAATCTTTATATACTTATCTTTGTTTAAAGTTTTGAACATGTTTGAAGAATATGTATGTAATTATCATGCTGATGAAATTTTAAATATTCTAAGACAAGAAGATAAAAAACAACATTACTCCATTACAATAAAGTATGTACACTATTTTGTACTTAATCATTAATTGCATCAGTTCAATGATTTGACATTAATGTTTTAGTTTTTTAACTCTTTTTGAAAAGAATCCAAAATTGGGTGAAGAAATATTATCGGATTCGATTAATGTCTTGGAACGGTGTGACAATGAATTGATCAGTGCTCAAAGAAAATTGAAAAAGACCATCAGTGATGAAAATGTTAAATTACGTACGAAAAAAAGAGTGCACACTAGAATTACTGGTAGGCATAAAACTATGATAATAGAATTAAGTAACACAAAAGTTTAAATTAAAAATATTTTAATATCCGAGTAATCATAAAATACTTTTTATGATGATTTTTATTTATAGCAATGTTATCTTTATTGTCTACTGTTTTCTAGCTTTACCTTTATGCCCTGAACTACATCGTACAATATTTCCACGCAATGAAGATATCGGTTCATTTTTACGGGTCAATGGTACCGTTGTAAGAACAGTTCTTCCCAAACTATTAGAATATAAAAAGATTTACTATTGTACTAAATGCAAACAAGCTTTTGATGTTAAGGTATTTTTGTTTTTAAATAATATTTAGGTTAGTCAATTTATATTTAAACTTTATAAAGACTCAATAAAAATATAAGCAAAGCAAATTAAAGCTGTTTTACAAAATTATTAATACAGTCTCATATTTTATTTTATTTGTTTTTGACAGATTGATTATGAACAGTTCAATAAGCTCATTGTTCCTGACCGTTGTCCTAATCCCGAAGATTGTCCCGGCACTACTTTTAAACCTGTGAAAGATGAAGAATATATAAAAGATTATCAAGAAATTAAAATTCAAGTAAAATTGTTTTATTACTCTTAATGTAATACATATTTAACATATAATGATTTATACAATTTAGGAACAAATAGGCAAAGTAGGCTTAGGAGCAATGCCACGTTCTATGTGGGTATCATTGGAAGATGATCTAGTTGATAACTGTAAACCAGGCGATGATGTTATTATATGGTAATTATAATATCATACAGTTCAATAAATAATTAGTATTTTTATTAATGAATTTTATACAATTTTAAAAATGCACCCGTAAATAAGTATATTTCAAAACGTTAATGTTAGAGATTTGGCTCGTAAATCCTATTTTTAATATGGGATGGTACAATAAGGCACTTTTTTAAACATTTTTAAAAATACAATTTTTTAATAATCAGTTGTATTTTTAGTGGTACTGTTATTAGAAGGTGGCACCCGTTAGTCGCAAACTCCTTCATAGATATTGAACTATGCTTACGGGCAAACCATTTGATTGTTTGTAATGACCAGCAGTCTGCAATAATGATTACCGATGAATGGTGTCAAGAATTTGAAAACTACTGGGAGGACAACAAAAATAATCCATTTGCCGCAAGGGATCACATTATTGCTTCGATTAGCCCTCAGGTTGTTTGATTATAATGACAAACCTCCAGTCTTTACTAATTATAAATATCTATAACTATTAGACGTATGGTCTGTATACAGCGAAATTGGCTGTCGCGTTAGGTTTAGCGGGTGGAGTACGGCGCACGGCACCCGAAGGTGGTGGAATAAGGATCCGAGGTGAAACCCACATATTGTTTGTCGGTGATCCCGGCACTGGAAAATCTCAATTGCTCAAGTTCGCCTGGAAAGTTTGTCCTCGTTCAATATTTACCACTGGAGTAGGTTCATCCAGAGCCGGACTAACAGTATCAGCATTTAGGGTAAACATTATTAGTAGTTTTGTCAAAAAATTAAGACCCAACTTACAAACTTATTCATTTTTTTTTTTCATTTTATCGAGGTTACTATATTTGACAACAAATTTACTTAACTCATTTATCACTAGGAAGGGTCTGAATGGCATTTAGAAGCTGGAGCTTTAGTACTAGCCGATGGAGGAATTTGCTGTGTGGACGAATTTGGTTCCCTCAAAGAAGATGATCGCACCGCAATTCATGAAGCAATGGAGCAACAATCTATTAGTGTTGCTAAAGTACATAATTACATGATATATACTACCAGTGAATTTTATTTATATTGTACCTATTGTGTACTTATCCACCTATGTTATCTTACTTATCACAGGCTGGTTTAGTGTGTAAGTTGGATACACGTTGTACTGTTATGGCTGCGATGAACCCAAAAACGAGATACAATTTAAATCTATCATTATCGGAAAATATTAAGGTGGCCAGTCCACTGTTGAGTCGGTTCGATTTGATTTTAATACTTATAGATACAAATAATGAAGAATGGGAAAGGTGATTTTTACTAAGTCAATATTATTATCCAAATTAAAATTAACAATTTTTTTTTTTTATATATCTTTTTTTAGGATTGTTTCCTCTTACGTTCTTCAAGGTAAAAAACCTATAGGTAAAAAAAATACTCCTACTTCGTTATGGAATCTCGAAAAACTTCAACATTATTTTTGCACTATTAGAAATATAACACCGGAGACAACAGAAGAAGCAAATTTAGTGTTAAGCAAATACTATTGGATGCAGCGCCAAAGCTGTCAAAGAAATGCCGCAAGAACAACTGTTAGATTTTTAGAAAGTCTCTTAAGGTGTGTGTTAGTTTAAAAAGTTTTTAATTATAACTCAACGTAAAATAATTAAATATTTTTTTTATTTATAGACTGTCACAAGCACACGCTAAACTTATGTTTCGTAATCGAGTACTTGTTGAAGATGCAGTTGTTGCAGTGTCTTTAATGGAATGTTCCAACGATGATGGATTGTCAAATAATATTAACACTCTGTACACTAATTTTCCCACTTGTCCCAAAGAAGATTATTTAAAAAAAAGTAAAATTATGATTTTACTACTTTTATTAGATTTAATATTAGTAATAATTTTGAATAATCTTTTAAAAACAATTTTTCAGTGGAAGAAATATTGACAAAACTCGGTCTAGAAGAGATTTTCGAGACTGAAATGAATAGATGGTATGAAAATTCTTTACAAAATGAATCTGATAAATGCATAAATAGTTCTGATGCATCAAGTCAACTTTCAAACAAAACTGAAAGCAACTTGACAAATAAAATTACAGAAACTATAAAAAATATTAAGAAAAAAAAAGAAAATGACTTTTTTGTACCACAAATAAGTAATAGAGATAAAGTTCAACAAAAAACAGTTTCTTCAAAAATATCTCCAAACGAAATTGATGAGTTCAATGATGATTCAAATGATGCAGATATTTTTGTTCGATGTTCTAAAGTTAAGAACAATGTTGTTTTAAAAACTACATTAAACCATGTCAACAACGAGTTAAGCAGTCACCCTAAAAATAACAACAGTCAATCTGTTAGAACGTCTCCAAAAATATGTGTAATTAATTCGTCTGTTGAAAATGATCTCAATGAGAATCAAGTGAATGCTAGTAAAACGTCATTGTCAAATAACACTCTTACTGATGATTTGAGTTTAGAATTAGAAAAAGATTATAATACTACTTCTAACTTGTTTACTGATCAAACCCCTTCAAAATCAACATTATACTCTGCACAAAAAGCCAAACTAAAATTGAGCAAATTCAAATTTAGTAAAAAAATCAATCCAAGTGAAAAACAGGAAATGTCTACACCTACACCGGATATTCCAATAAATAATAATGACTGTACAACTACTGTAATCACACCGACTGCGCCAAAAATTGTTCCTATTAATCTAGCAAAGGTTTTTTCAGCTGAAGATGAGGAAGACTTGTCTTATTTAGATTTAGAATAATAGTTTCAACTATGAAACAAATACTTCAATATATTTTGCAACTATTAACTTTATGTTGTAGTATATAAAAAAACTACCTTATAAATTTTGTAAAAGTTGTTTTGTTACCTACCTTAAAATTCATACTTATAGATCTTTAATTAATTTATAATAAAAATTGTATTTTTTAATTAAAAAAATTAATAAAAAATTGTTTTTTCCTTTCTAAGTTTAAAATAAATATATAATTATTTATTAAATACACATTTATACTTGAATGTTATGAACAAATAATTTACAACACCAATGTATTTTCTAAAAATTGTTTTTACTTGGAAATTAATTCCTCTTGTAAACAACGTTGGTGTCACCAAGCATTTTCTACTCGTGCCTACACATTTTTAACAGATGTAAATTTAAAACTTCTTACCTCTCGTTGCTATATGGTTGCCAAAAAGGTTCTAGCCAATATTCAGAGACTAGCCTTACTGAGATTTCTGTAACTTTTCTATTTTGTTAGAGTCTTTAAAAATCGGACATACAATTTAGGAGGCTCCCGAATTTTGGTTGTTCGTTAGCAAGTTCTATGATTGATTTAAAATTAATTTTTTTAATTTTCTAATATTTTTAAATCAAATATTCCTACATTTTCCTATATTCCTTTAAATTTATCGACTGGATCGGAATTTCTTTATGTTTTACTACAATTTTAAATGTAAGTCATATTTTTTCCCCGATAAATTTGAAATACATATAGCTCCATTGAGGATATTGAACTGTTCCAATATTTTCAACAATTGAAATTACCGACGTAAAACAAAACATTTTGTTACCCAATGAATTTTTTAATAATCATATAGTTTTTTTTTTATATAGAATGGAAGTATACTTTTAGAACTAGAAATTAGAGTTTATTAACGTGTCAAAAGTGAGTGAACAAAAGGCGTGCTCCGATTATATCAAATTAGTGTACCGAAAAAGATCTCGCTACAAAATATGTCGGATTTGAAAAGGAATTTTATATGATATGTTGTTCGATCAACACCGACAGTGGCGTAACTATCTTGGGTGCAGGGGGCAGCTACCCCAGGGCGCATTCTAATTTAGGGCGTTTGCGCGTTTACCTACTATACACGTTAACGTGTAATATAAGGCACAAAAAATGTCTCTAGTTACGTCACTGTACACCGATCAGGTTTGTTATGACCAAACTCATACTAATTTATTTAATTATTATATACGCTTACTAATTATTATATTTAATCAGTAATTACAGCTCGCCCAGAAATAATTTATAGTGGTATAGATATATAATCAGTAATCATAAATATTCATAATTATTATCTTACCTAATACCTATGTATACAGTATACCCTTGTGCAAAATTATATAGTACAATTTAAAGCACTATGTTCGTATGTTAAGTGTATATAAAGAGATACCACGTATAATAATAAAATCTTGACAACAATAGACGGGCGACGATGGAAGGGCAACAATAAGTATATTTATATATATACAGGGTGATTTTTTATCGTGGGCCACTCAATATCTCACTGGATTTAATTAATAATTGATTTTTTTTTTCATAGAATTTTTATATAGTTTTATCTAAAATTTCCACAAATTTTTATGTTCCTTACCCCCCTCTCAAATTAGTTTTTTTGATATCAACTTTTGAAAGAGATGGTAACGTGTATATTTTATTAACTTTTTAATTTAAGAATATTTTACTAAAAGTTTTGACTGGTTGATAACCAGTTTTTAACCACTATTTTTAAAGTTATTTAAGTTTCATGTTTAGGGCAGGAGGAATTAGGAAAAGTGGAGTGTAGTATTATTTCGCGCACTTCCCGGCCGCACTACCCCTCCTGTCCTAACTTTTATACTCTTATAACGTTACCATTTAAGTTTCAAAAGTTGATATAAAAATAAACAGTTTAGGTGGGAGGTAGGAACATACAAATTTGTGGAAAATTGAGATCACATTATATAAGAACTCTATGAAAAAAAAATTAAATTATTAATTAAACCCAGTGAGATATTGAGTGGCCTACGATAAAAAATCACCCTGTATATATATATATTGTTGTACCTATTTATTATTATCACGCGAAATGCGACGGCGGAGGAGCGAAATTATTGCCGGCAGCCGGCGGGCGAGTGGGATCGACGGTGCACGAAAAACCAGTCGTAGAGTGTGGATGCCGCCAGGACGGAGAGTATGTCGTCGTCATCGTTACCGTCGGTCTGCGGCGGCCGGTGGTAGTGTGTTCGTGCCATCCGAACGAGTAACATTTTGTACGTCGGCGGTGGCCGTTATTGTGTTACGAACGTCATATTTTTGTTATTAATTCGCACATTCATCGGGCCATAACTGTTATTGAATACATTCGCGTAGAAGTATTTCCGTTGGTTCGCGCGTGTACTGGCGGCGTAAGACGATGCGCCGCCGTCAATGGCCAACGCCAATAGCACTTCCGACGTTAGGCCGCTGCTGCAGTTGCCGGCGGCCGAACGCGCCAAGAAAAGGCCGGCGACGAGCAAGACCGGTGGCAAGAAGTCGTCCGCTTCACGTCGGCGGGTCGCCCACACGGTAGCCGGCATTCTGGTCGGCCTTACCGTTGGATTCTTATCGGGCGACTCCACCGTACGACTCTATACGGGCTGTGGCGGATTCGGCGGCTCGGGCCAGCGGCTGGACCAAGCCGCCGTGGCCGCAGTGCAGTGGCCGGCCGAAGACTATAGTGGGACCGTCAACGGCACGACGTCGTCCGCGGACGGACGTCCGGCCACGTTGCTGTTCGTGGGGGTGCTGACCGCCAACCAGTACCTGTCCACAAGGGCCGCAGCCGTGCACCGTACCTGGGCGAGGAGCGTGCCAGGCCGCGTTTTGTTCTACACTTCGGAGACTTCGGTACGGCCACTCGACGCGCCCGACCTGCCGCTCGTCCGGCTGGCCACTGTCGACGACTCTTATCCGCCGCAGAAGAAGTCGTTTCTCATGTTGCAACACATGTGGGACAATTACGGCGACAAATACGAATGGTTCATGCGGGCCGACGACGATGTGTACGTGCGACCCGACAAGCTAGAGACGCTGCTCAGGTCGGTTGACAGCCGGCGGCCCGTATTCATGGGACAGGCTGGACGCGGCAACCAGGAGGAATTTGGGCTGCTCAGCCTCGAGTACGACGAAAACTTCTGCATGGGCGGCCCAGGTGTCATCATGAGTCGTGAGACGCTGTCCCGGGTCGTGCCGCACATTAAACATTGCCTGAAAAACCTGTTCACTACCCACGAGGACGTCGAGTTGGGCAGGTGCGTGCAAAAATTTGCCGGTGTCCCGTGTACGTGGTCCTACGAGGTAAAATTCAATACTCATATCTATGCATTCTATTCATAGTTAACCCTATTCATAGTTAATTTATACTATTCATAGTTTATTCGACTATTCTTAGTTTATTTTGCTACAAACGGCAAATCACTAATAATTATTAGGACTCACGGTAGTATTCGATGTTATTCTTATATTTGAAGTTTGAAAAAAGTACTATAGACCCAGCACTATCTAGTACCTACTATTAGTATACACTAATGCCTTGTTATATTATCAGATATGTAATACGATTCTTGTAACCATAGTCGAACTAAGCTAACGACTAATGTTGTAATCAACATCATCAACAACAGCTACAATGATAAAAATAATGTTTAATAATATATCTGATCAAAGCATAGTCTTTAATCTTTAATTTTAAGCTGAATGACGATTATAAAATAAACGATAATAATAATTTATGTTTTCTGTGCACGTAATGGAAAAAATTAGCAATAAAAATATTAAAAAGAAATTGTTGTTATAATATAAATATTTATTTTTAGCAAAATCAAAAAGTCATTATAAAGTACACATCATTTGTATAGGTATATACAATATACGCCTCAAAAATGTTTGATCGACTTCTTATATATTATAATTATTAAATAATATACTTAGATATATTATTGTAAGTTATATAGTTAATATTATATTTAACTTTAAAGTAAATTTTCTAAAAAACCTCCTTTTAAAAAATTATTTAACTTAACCGACTTTATGTTACCTAGTAGGTTTTGCAAAATAATAAGTAGTAGTTGTTGAAATCACCATTTACCTATTATGGTTTTAGTTGGCTTCAAACCATTGGATTCAAATTTTTCTGTTAATGAGCATAGAAAGAACTCGATTTCGAAAATGCCTTCACAAGGAATGATTTCTCAGAACGCAAAATCACAAAATAATTAATTTAGTAAAGTAGATATACAAATTGTACATTATGAGTTATAGACGTCATTTTTATAGAAAAATGTTGCAATTTGTTTCATCAAAATAATTTTGAGCGAATCAAAACCAAAGTGCCTTGGAACTGTTGGAAAATCACCAATTTGGGTAATATATGGACAATATTCTATTCTATTTTTCTATGGAAATTTGGGGAATTTAGTACTTTTTTTCCCCCAAGTAATCGCTAACCTGGCGGGGAACTGTTGAATTTACTACTATCACAGCCTCTACAGTATTCGTTCGCGCAAACTTTGTTTTCACACTACAAATTACAGGCGGGTAGCGTACTCAATACCTAGTTTAAATATTTACCAGTTTATTTATAAAAAAAAAAAACACAAGTATTGAATTTACCTACTTTAAATCCAAAGGTCGAACAACAAATACATCGCATTAAATGTTGTCATTTGATAACCGTAAGTAGCATCGGTAATTATAATCGGCCTTATTTTGATATCTTATACCGTTAGAAAATAAAAATACCCACCTAAGGCAATAAACGAAATCACAAGTTTTCACTATCTACTTGAACGAGATACCTAACACTGCTCTGATATAAATTAAAGTCCAAATTGTTGTTCATAAGCTGTAAATTGATATTGAAGCGTTAAACAACGATTAAATCTTTTTTTTACTATAAAAATATGGTCATTATACCATAAATATTTTTTATGATCTTATGTCACGTAAAAAGGAAATAATAGATAAAAATGTTGTAAAAAGTATATTTTATATTGTATAGTAATTCTCACTAAATAAATAAAAAAATTAATTCATAAAACAATAAAGTGAATAGGCTGTAGTAGTCAAATGAAAATTTTATCCGATTTTATACGGAAAATTATGTACATATTATATTCTAAAAAATGATGTAAAAATAAAAACAAATTTACTGCTCTAATAAGTTAAACTTACTTTACTTAAGCACATGCGTTACCTCACAAAGTTCTAATAGAACATGTGCATCTAGAAAATATAAGAATATTTTAGACCTTCTAAATTTAAAAACAAATATGTCTAATTGGTATCTACTAGAAAAAAATTAAGCAACACTAATATTGTGGTTTATACCTTATAATTTGTTTTAAGTGCTCTCTTAAAACCAAAATGCTTGCTCGTTACATAACGTAAAAACCAACTTTAAAATGTCCCGCTACATTTTATTTTTAATGGATTTAGTCTCTATGCTAATTTTCAAATATTAATTCCAAAATTGCGCCCATACAAAGAGAAATAATAAGTATCCATATTATTCGCACTAGAAGAAACTTATAACTATAACTTATTCATATTTTTAAGGTTTTTTGTTAAGTTTTCCTAGGGCGGGTATACTATCAGACATAAAAAAGCTGCATTATATTTATGTCTTATAACTTGCCTAACACTGTAAGTTTAAAAACATCGGTACAAACCATCGTGTTCCTCTAATTATTGTTTTTATTATCTATATTTTTTTATACATATATTATATTAAATTTAAATATCTAAATATTAAGACATTTGTTTTAATAAATATGTGAATTGAGTAAAAGTAATCTACAGGTTAGTTTAAAATTAAAAAGACAAGCATTCGATAAATTATTATCTTTCTCGACTGATTGTTATATGATAATATAAGTTGTATAACCAACACGAAATGTCTACATGATATATTTATGTTATTCAATTTTAACTGTTATTATGAGTGAATCAGCAGTTTTTAAAAGTTGTCTGGAAAAAAATGCGTTGCATTAAGGAGTTTCGTTGTCTCCGTGAAAACCACAATTTGTGAATTCAGCACAAAGGCGGGCGAGTGTGTTGTGCCAGCTTCTGTTTCCAGGATCTTGAACGCTTTGTCTTGCCTGTCAGGTTCCTCGACGGTTCGACCTTTGTGTAGCATTTAAAGTTATCCTTTCAACTGTTCCGTTTCGGTTTGCTTGGCACATACCTATGGATTTAGTGAATCTCCCAAAATGTAATTGTGTACAAAATGGTTAATGTGTTGATAATTATGAATATTTCTTTCCGTTTACCATTTTTTCTAATTTTTTCGATTAAAACGAATTTATTTAATCAAATATTTACCATACCTATTTATTATATCATTTATATACATATATTTTCCCTACTAAAAAAAAAATTGTCAATTGTATACTAATTATTAAAGCGTGATTTGTTTATTATAGATAATCGTTATAATAGTAATGAAATGGATAGTATAATTCAAGGCTCAAGCGTCGGTATAGCACGTGTGAAATGTTATAAAATGTTGTTTTTTTTATAGCTATAATACACTGCTGGCGCGATAGAAATCACACTGTAATATTGTCACGTTTGTAATTTAACCATTTATTTATTTAAGTACTCTGGTGTTAATTTTATTGGCGAGCGTCCTCATCGCTGATTCATATGATTAATGAAATTCAATACGTATCGTAATCATAACACATGCACACGTGTGCGTTCAAATTGTGTATGCGAATCGTTCAGTGAACTTAAACGAAACGCGGAAAGTCTCACAAATGAGACCAGTAAATATTACGAGGAAGGACACTATACGAGACCATAGCGCTGAGAATTGAGATTACAAGATTTACCGAGTTATTGAAAAGAGCTAATAGAAAAATACATTATTCATATTATACTTTGTACTTATGTCAGTGAACACCCGAATGTATAAATCTTGAGCCATTACATTAATTGCTGGTAAGACTGGTTGTCCGTAGTTGACCAGACTCGTGCAGAGAGAGAGAGAGAGAAAATTCTTATTCACTTTTTTCTGTAATAATACATGGATACATGGTCGATGGTTTTATCGATAATGTATTTAATAATTTTTTAAGAGGGCCAGCTTAAATTGTAGAACATTTTTTCTAAAAAACGTTGTAATACATTAATGGCGTGCAGTATACTTAATATATAATACTGGAAATTTTGGTTTATAACATAATATGACTCACTGCGCGCGTGGGCAATTGGAAATAGGATTATATCCTGAAATTTCCACGAATTTACCTAACTATGTTATTTTATTATTCGCGATTAGCTTTACTTAGTATTTAGTAGCATTTGACGAATATTGTTCTCTGGACTACAAAATATAATGATATCTACTTGTGGCCTCATCCATTACCAAAATATAATAGGTGTAGGATTTCTGATCAATAGACTAGTGTGTAGTATGAAGACATGTTTAAAAAGTAATCTTGCGTCAGACACAAAAATAAAGCACCATTGTAATATACCTTTTCAGCTCCCCATAGAAGCTAAAAACAGCTGTATCGAAACATGTTTTTTTTTCTTTAGCTGTTGACCATTTCTTGTTTGACTTTTTTAAGTGACTTGGGCAATCAGTTGACTCAGAGGGCTATTGCCCTCGCCATTTAATAAACCACGACGGCACGGCGCTTCTACTACCTACAGCTGTTAGATCATTGCCTAGAGCAAGCATAACTCACCGCGTGTCGAATTCTATGTAGACACGTGCTGACCGCATGTGTTTCTTTTCCAATTGTGATTTGTGATTATTATTTTTCCAAACCTTTAGTCGTGTACGGCTCTATCTCAGCAGACCGAAAACAAAACTTAAGTAAGAAGTATGACATTTAAAAATCGGTTCCATTTTTTTTCACACGGTACAAGTATCTAAATATAAAATAATATGATGTTTGTAAAAGGGACACCGCGTCGACTAACAACCGGCACATGTGTCCCATGTGTTTTTAAGAGTCTCAGAAAAGATCAAGACGCGACGTTGCGACACACTGCACGGATAATGACTAAACATTAATCAATGATTAATGATCCTTAGAGATTTTGTTTTTTTTTAGGGTTTATCACTCGGGTAGGCTCTTGATCTATGAGAATATCCGAAAATTGGCTTGCATATAGGTAGTTGATTCACAAATCAACTGTCATTTCTTAACGGTTCGCAGACGAATAACCGGCACTCCCTTTTCAAGTAGCAGACATACAATAATATTATAAATATAATTATTATAAATACCCATTGTGTGTTTGCAACTTGTAATGGTAATAATCTTCGGATTCGACATAAAGGA